AATGTGCTTGTTTGACCTGGTTCACGATCCTTGCTTTATGTTGTGATGTTTGATAAATATGTGTAATAGATATTAATATACTGGTAGCTGACTTCTGGTTGCCATGGTTTCACCAGTGATATATGTGTTTCATTTTGTACATTTGGACAGTGATGAGAATATTACCCTTCCAAATGAAATATCCAGTTTTTGAAATGTTTGCCTTAAAAATGGTGCAGCATGTTTTAATGTCAGAGCAGTATATTGTTACTACAGGTTTACAGTGACAAATATCATGCTATGTATCTTGAAAAATTCCTAACGAATGCCTAACTATCACGTCATTATTGTTTCCAACACATGGAAGTGAACGTGTTTTTTTAATTTTTATTCAGTAACTGGTATCATAATTAAAGGTCACACTGATAGCACATGCAGCTACAGCACATGCACCTTGGTGATGTTCTGCTAGTGTTTGACATTAACTGCCTGTCTGTAAGCTCAGGCAGGTAGATTTCGTGTAAAATTTGTATGGGTCTTTGTCGCCTACAGTAAACTTTGTCACAAATAGCTGCATTTTTTTCAATGAAGGCCTGAAGAGTTAAGTAACCGACTGCAGGTTCTAAAGTCTGTGCCACCTAATGGCAGCTTGGCTATATATTTTTAATTGTACATTGTATTGGGCATCACCCTCTTATGGTTTATAGATGACAACTTTATGGATGATCAACTTCTTTATTTTCACAATGGCGACGTTTCTGTATAGATTCTGATACCGTTTTCAAGCATATCAATGGTATAAGAATTTATACTGAAATCGCCATTGTGAAAATGAAGAAGTTGATCATCCATAAACTTTTGTCATCTCTATACCACCAACTTCTAGAATGCCACTCAAACAAATCTCTCGTGTTATGGGTTACCATGGTGATTTCAGGTAGTACAGGGCTCCATGCAGCAAGCTAGGCCAGTTGCTGGATGGCCTGTTGAGTCATTTGGTCAGTTCATTGACTGGGTTGATTCCATGTCACCATGGATGATGATGGAGATTGTTGCTCATATGTTAAAGATGTTGCTGAAAGTGGCGTTAAACAAAGACGCAAACAGTATTTAGCATCTTTTGTGTATTGTGGGGGAGCCTAGTGGTGAACGTTTTAACTTGTCATGCTGAAGGCCATGGTTCAATTTGCCACATTCGTATAATGTGTGAAGCCTATTTCTAGTGTCCCCTGCCACGATATTGCTGTAGTATTGCTAAATGTGGTGTAAAACCATAGTCACTAAGGGAACATGTGTTGCACAGTTATCATAGGCAACCGGATTAGCTCTGCGGTATTGTGTTGCTTAGTTGTGCCAGAAACCATGGGTTCAAATCCTGATTCTGTGTCTGGGTTTGTCACCACCACCACACCCAAGCATGTTACACCGAAATGATAAACAAATAAGAACTGCCACATTTATCCAATACGCTGCGTTACTACTGGAATACTGTACAAAGCAGCATTAAACCCAACTCACTCACTCACTCAGTTGTTTCCCGTGAAGGTCCGGGTTAGAATGTGCCTTGAGGATAATGTACAGTGTAAGCCGGTACAGATTATAGAGCAAACAGTTAACATATCCTGGTTGAAATCCTTAATCTGGTGGAGATTATCTGCAGGCCTCGATTTAGTGCTTTGTTACTTGCACTGATGCAACCCAATATTACAAAGTTGCAACCTAGTTATTAGTCTTACTTGCACCAGGTGCAAGTTAATTTTTGAGAACTAAATCAACAATATGTCTAACATTATATGAGCAGCATATAACTATGTCAGCTCATTTTACTTCTAAACTTTGAATAATTCAATAGCATATTTTCTTTCTTTACATATTGCAAAAAAGGTAGTGCAACTGGAATTTGGCTGGTGCAACTAGGTTTTTATCTCAGGTTGCACCTGGTGCAAGTAGGTTAATATATCTTATATCGAGCCATTATTATCTGCTTGACCTCCAATAATTCTCAAGGCGAATTGTTGCATTTTGAACCTGTATTTCTGTGTTGGGTGTAAATCAGTCTTTCAACTTAAAGGCCAATCAACCTTATTTGCTTGGTATTTTGTGATTACTCGGGGGATTTTTCGCCCCAATGTGCAATTACGATTATACATCAGAAAGCTGTTTGCATACAGAATTTGTCACAGAAGTGGTTCAAGGAACTGTATCTTGGTTGGGCAAATTTCATTGTACACAGAATTTCTTTTTCACTTTTGCCTGTATTTTTAATGGTCAATTCACCAGGGAGGATGGATTACAACTTTCTGAAATATTAATCTGTTTATTGTTCCATTTATTGACTGAACTCTCAGTGTTATGTTGATATTCTTCTCATCACATTAAGGGGCTGTTGGGAAGCCTTGTTTATTAAAGGGTTTGCTTTTCATGACAAGGACCTAGGTTCGATTGCTCACATGGGTACCATTCAGAGCTCCAGATAAGATTTAGCTCATGTGGGTACTGTACCCACTGAATTTTTTTGGAGTGGGTATTTTGAATGTTGAGTGGGTATTTCATTTTCCGTTACCCACTGCTTTCAAATATGTGCGTATTTCAGTCATTTTACTCACCTAAGTATTATGTCATTGAGTAAGTTTACTAAGCAGGTATGTTCTGCCTTATGTCATACCTAATCAAAACCAACTTAAATATAATGGAAATGATTTCATAAAAAATCACTCATCCTATACTGACAGTACAACACTTGTCCTATACTAACAGTACAACTTGATAGCAATCGATGTCTTTTTCATTATGCAAGCAATTTTTTATAAATATAATCTGTACGCATTTGTTTTAAACTCTTTGCGTATCTAACATTTTAAATGCGTAATTGGTATGCAACAATTATTTTTCAATGTGTAATTTGAATTTTTCTATGCATATTTTACCCGGATACGCAGCTTATCTGGGCCTCTGGATATGTGAATCCTATTTCTGTTGTCTTCTGTTATCTTTAAACAGCTAAATGCAAGCTAAAAGGTTTAACCATATTTTCTCACTCAGCACAAGAACACAGTGGGATCTTATGGTTGGAAGGATCCGAGAATGTCTTATATTGATGAATATTGAAATATTTGACTATATCCTCAATATTCACTATGCTTATATTGTGTAGAACTTCAAATCAGTCATTCTAATACACAACCATAGATGTGAACTGAAGGGATCAAGTAATAGGCTCGCTGACTTGGTTGATGCATATCCTTGTATCTCAATCTCATAGATCGATGCTCATTATGTTAATCACTAGATTGTCCGATCCATATAGCTTCAATAATGCACCATTAAACTACAAACAAAACATATTTGGATAAGCAATGTTTAGATGTTGGTAGAAAGATGTAAACGGTTGACATTGTTGGTAATGTTTGTAACAGTACATGTTAGTGCAAATCAAATACAGGGATGTTTTGGTGAGTTGAGTGGTTCACTGAACTCTGTTACTATTTGATAGTTGTTAGGTCAGACTGTAGCTGTGAAGTGAGGCGACACCTAGATACATTTATTATAGGAAGTGTTGTCCACCTCACAGACATGTTTCGTGCAGTTGTCTTTCACAGTTGTCTACCTTTGGTGCCAGTATCCAGTTATCGTGGCTGTTTTTCTTGCTTTCGAGTAGTTTTGTCAGCACATGCTGTGCTTGTTGGTTCATGAGTATTGCCAACACCAAAGACCTGCAGATTTTGTTTTTATATTTTACTTTTTTAAACAATCTTTTCAAGACATCTGTATATGATAAACATCAAAGGATGTAGTTCACAAATAGGATAAATGTTTGGTAGGATAATCATCATCCCAAACTGGCATATCTGTTAGGTCTGATAGAGCTGTGTCTCTATGAAAATACCTTCAAAGAATTGTCACAATGCTTTATGGACCATTGTGACATTATTGTTTATCATGACGTCACAATCAAATTACATCACTAATCTCTTTACCACTGAAGCTGGACAGTTATAGTTTCCACATTAAAGATTTCGTTGTTATTTTTTATTTACAAGTTGAAGAACTTGGAACAATGGTTTTGTATCAGTTTGAATCTCACCCTTGTGTCACTAGATTGTCTGGTCCAGACTTGATTATTTTCAGACCGTCGCCATATAGGTGGAATATATTCCTCAGTGCGGCATTACACAACAAACAAACAAACAAATATATCAAGACAATTAGATAAAAGGTTTAAAAACCTTACTTTTGAGCCTTAAACTTATGTTTGTGGATTCTTCATGTGTGCAGTGAATTTCATCAAGTAAAGAAAGACAACATAGCAATTACGCTTGTCAGTAGGTAGTAATAGAAGAGTGCTTTTTAACTGAGATCTTCTAATGAATTAATTATGGTGAGGTATTGCTCTGACTGGTTCTTAATTGCGCCTTACATCAACCTCTAGTTTGCTTTGTCCACTTTTTTTATATTCCCATGCTGAATTTAGCTTATGTAAAACCAGCATATTCTGATGATACGGATAGTTGCTTACACAAGTGCTTCTCTATAGCTGCATTAATTCTAATTAATCTCTGGAAACACCAGTCACGCTTTTGAGGTCAGATATGCCCTTAATGATACTAATAAACAATGGTTCCTAGACGTCAGCTGTGATAACTTGCCGGATGTCGCCATGGTTATGAATCCTTTCCTCCTGCAACAGTTTGGGCAGCTTGACTGTATACCCTGTCTCCTGATGAAACTGGTACCCATGCAGGAAAGTCCCACTAGTTTAGACAAACACTTTTCCTTTCATGCTGATGTCAGTATCACATGAAATGTCACAGCTGCAAGTCAGCGAGGAAATCTGAAAATTTATTGCTATCTGACAAGGAGACTTAACAAATATGGCCGAATCTTGGATAGCTTTAGTGTTCAAGTTACTTGATCAATGAATAGCAGCTGAAACTGAGGTGAGATGATATTTTGTGGTGTACTGTGCTAGCTATTGAGGTTTGACTAGGGACTTGAAGTTTTTTATGTTGGCCCTGTGCCTTCATCGATTAGTCAAATTGTTTTTATGGTTAGGAATGTAAAAAGACCTTTAAGTTCATCTGATATGTGGGACACAGTTGTCTGAGTTGTCTGCCGCAGTTTGCTCATTTACATCCCTATGGCACATTTGAAATCCCATTGTCTCAGGTTTGAATCCCAGTTTGCAGTGGTTATGTTTTTTGGGTTTGCCAGCAGGGTGATGGGAGTAGTCCAGTGGTTAAAGCTCGTCACACGGAGGCCTTGGTTCGATTCCCCTCATGGGTACAATGTGTGAAACCCATTTTTGGTGTCCCTCGCCGTGATATTGCTGGAATATTGCTAAAAGCGGTGTATAACCATACTCTCGCTGGTTTGTCATCACCTTACCATTGTTCGTGAGATTCACCAAAGTGGTGTATGTCTGGGTGGGACCTGCATCACTTCAAGCCTTCCTCCCACATCAAGATGACCCACTGTGCTATAAGAGGAATACTGTTCAAGGGGACATTAAACATACTCGTATTACCCCTTGTTGGAAGACGGTAGATACAGATACATTTACCTGAGGGTGTTTCTGATGGAGAATAATTTCTTGTTATCCTATGAAACCCAGCTGAAAAGAAGATTGCATGTCTAAGAACACTGATGAATTGTTGCTCATGTCATTGACCACAGGATGACCAAGACAGTTGGTATCAGACTTTGTGTGATATAGCTTGAAAACTGCTGACCACGGCATAAAATGTCATTCACCCACTCACTAAGACTAAAAGAGATACTGGCACAGAAAGCAGCCTCCTATTGTAATGGCAAAATGGTCCGTTAATGAATCAAATGTAATTGGGTTGTATTTGTCAAAATGAAATACCGTAAATAATCAACATTTGGTACGGTAATAAGGCATAAAATACTTAATAATAGGTGGATTGTCTTCATAAATTACCCAAAAAATAAGTTGAGCCATGCCTAGCCTATGGGTACTGACTCTTTATCTGCTCAATAGGTGGCGCCGACTGGTGGCGATCTGCGTCTGAGCAGGCTCGTAGACTTGCGGAGGGTACAGGGCTGGAGGTATATGCTGGCAGTTTGGGCAATGTGCTGCCTCCATCTTTCTCACCCCTCGCCACAGGGCTGGAGTTCCCCCACCGTGTGGGGCTCGAGCACCTGCTGCGAGCCCCTGTCGACATGGATCACAGTAAGCACGGGCAAACACTCGACTCAATCGCTTTGTAGGACGCTCGCTCACAATCTCGCTCGCAACCTCGCTCAGTCGCTCTTGGTGTTGTTGTTTGTCCACATGAAGTAGATTGCACTCATCCAGCCATGAGACACAAACAAAAATGAAATTAAACTTCCAAATTTGAAATTTATTGGTTTCATTTCAGTGGTGGAATGTCGAGAAAATTATAATATGTATTTGAAAATGTTTTATGTTTTTTGACAATTTGTTGCTTTAACTGTTTAACTGCCTGCAAATATGGCATAAAAAAAATTAAGATTGTAATTTTCAAGAATTTCAATCAAATCACACCTGTAACATATCTTTATCAGTATTTTTAATGAATGTCCTGTATACGAATAAGCATATGACTATTGATTAGAAAAAAATAACATACAAAGTTCGTAAGATTTTGATTTGAAGCTAAGGTTACTTAGACGATATTTGCAATCTCATGGCTGGTTTTGACAGTGGTCTTGTGACAGACTTACGTGTTGTCTTGTGTAGTTCTATATACATAATCAATCATGCACCTAGACTCTCCTCTCATATCACCATCTTTTCTGTCATGGAGTGTGTTACTTCTATTTTGGAATTGTCACCTTATCACTCAGTGCTTTTTCCCAATCTCTTTAAACCCTGGAAAATCTACACTACTATTGGTTTCAATTAAATTCAAATGTAAATAATATGCGATTTTTGAAGTTTTTTATAAAAATATATTTGTCTTTAAGTTAATTAACTTCATAACAATACAGTTTTAAATGCTGTAACTCTATCAAATATGAATAAATTTCGGTTCAGCTTCTTGAATGGCAATGTTGTCGTTAAAAATTAAGTTTTAAATTTCATTTTGCATGGCTAAAATTGGTAAACTGCTTGTTTTATTTTGTTTTTGCAAATGGTTCACTTAGCATTCACATTGATCCAAACATTGAGAAGGATAACAATAAAACAGTGACATACTACAGCAAACATTTATTTCTGGTGTACATGCCCCCTCTGCCTGCATATATTCTTCAGCCCTGAGTTTGTGTAGTGGTACTTCAACTTGAAGTACAGCGTAGTTATCTCCCTTTAGCAATTCTACGTGCTGCACACCTCTCAGAATAGACCATGCTGCACAAGGGGTTGTAATTTTGTAGAATGTATTATTTGGAGCATTTTGTTACATGCATAGGTATTGTTTTAGTGAATTGTCAATAAATGTCATAAATTAATAGTAATTTGTGAAGTACAAATATATTTTTGACATATGGTTTGTGCAATCAGTTTTCCTGACGATGAAAATTCATATTTGATCAAATGTTTACTATGAATCATTTAATGGATGTGATTTAGCCTTGGGATTAAATTTCCAGTGTATTTGACAGATGACATGTGATTTAGGTCGTCTTCATTCGTTTTGCCTTTCAGGGCTGTATAGTCTTTAATGGTGGTCTTGTTTAACTAGCATCATACAAACACTTACTACAGTTCCAGTTCTCTTTGTGGAATGGGATCAGAATTTGAATTAGTATATTGTGTTAATACGAAAAAAGATATCTGGCATGTTAGTATTAAGTCATTTAACTTACATGCCTGCATCTGATTCATAGAATATATCAGCCTTTCGGCAAATATATAGGAACTGATGACATTTTATGTAGCTGAAAAAGTAACCAATTTAAGCTGTACTTGTTGTTTGAAATTAAGCATGATTGTCAAGGGTCCCTTGTTTTAGCCCTGATGTTAAAATCCAAGGTGACTTAAGGTTCTAATGCCAAGGTTTCAGATCAGTTTCATGAGTTGACTGCCTTTATTGAAACTGACCTTGAGATTTTGTGAAAATACGGTAATGGTATGGAATAGTCTCAGGGATGCCATGACATTTAATTTTGAACACTGGACAAGATGTTTTCTCTTTGATGTGTACAGCTGTACAATATTTTGCGTCATTGATCATTTCCTATTAATATTTGAAAATTTGACTTTTTGATTTAGATGACGCACTGTCTTACTATCTTGACTTTGGGCTGTCTCCAGGCTCTCTGTTGTCGGGAATGAAACATCTTGCCGAAACTTCCGCAGGAAGTCCAGTTTCATCAAAACAGTCATTGTCATCGCGTTCACGAGGCACCAAGTCATCTACATCCACCTCTTCCTCCTCCACAACCAGGAGCCTTCTCAATGGCACTGGGCCAAGCTCACACATCGATGGACGTAAACGCAAACAGAAATCATCCTCTTCTCACTCATCAGGGACGCCCTCACCTGCCATACCATCATCATCAACGTCATCATCGTCACTGTACAAGCCATCCTTACCTAAAAGTGAATCACCATTGGCTTTAACCTCTACTGTTCAACCATCACATGAAGTAAGTTGTGTTTAGTTCAGGGAGCTGAAAGTGTTATGATGTAAAGAGAAACGTCTCTGTCAGCTACAGTATGATGTATAGCAGGAATATTGATGACTGTGTCCAAACAGTATTGACTCACTTCACACACACACAACATAAAATCAAAGCACCAGTGGCTGAAGGGTCGTGTATATCCCTAGGGTCCATGCAGGTAGCAAAAGTATTGCAAGTACCCATGGTCCTGAGTATGGTGACCGCCTCCGTGGTGTAGTGGTTAGAGCGTCCGCCCGGAGAGCGGAAGGTCGTGGGTTCGATCCCTGACCGCGTCATACCAAAAGACGTTAAAATATGGTACTTGTTGGTCCCTGCCTGGAGCTCGGCATTAATGGGTACAACAAGGATTGTTCGCCTCGGAGTCAGTATAATGTGTCTGAGTGGGGTATTCATGCTTCACTGCGGCATGGTATCTCAGTGGGCTAGCACTATAAAACCAGCTTAAGTCCATGAAATTTGTTTAATTTTACAGGTTCATGATAGTTTTAATAGCTCATTTCAGGTGTCCCCTGCCGTGATATTGCTGGAATATTGCTAAAAGCAGCGTAAAACCAAACTCACTCACTCACTCACTGATAGTTTTAATTCTCTATCTGTGATACTCTAGTTATATTACTGTCCTTCGTCGACAGGTTTTTATAATTATGAATTTATAACTTTTTTGAGTCACTATATGGCTGAAATATTGCTGATGTGACTATAAATAATATACAAATATACTTTTATGTTTATATAAACATAAAAGTTATACCTATGCAACTTTCAAGTTATTTTCAGTTTTAATGAAATGGTGTTACTATCTCCCACCTCAACATACACCTGTTTCACAGTCTATTTCAAGTAATTTAATTGCCAATCATCGTTTCAAAAAGATTTAAGACCAGCTGATTTTTTTCATTTATTAAAGTTAGTCTGTCATAACTTGAAATATAAAAATAGAATCCGGTAGTCTGTAACTTTATCTTAATAGTTTATATGTAATGGTCATGCTCTGTGTTGATAATACCCGCAAAGATCCGGGCTTAGAATTGGCCTTCAGTAACCCATGCTTGTCGTAAGAGGCGACTAACGGGACCGGGTGGTCAGGCTCACTGACTGGGTTGACACATGTCATCGTATCCCAACTGTGTAGATCGATGTTCATGCTGTTGATCCCTGGATTGTCTGGTTTAGACCCGAATTATTACAGACCGCCGCTATATAGCTGGAATATTGCTCAGTGCGGTGTAAAACTAAACTCACTCACTCACTGTGTTGATCATGTTTTGCTGCATTGAGAACCTTTGTGCAACAGAAATCATCGCCGGTCCACAAGAAGAAGAGCAAGAAGGTCAACATGACTGAAAACGGCAGCCACTCGGATCTAAGCTCTTCAAGCTCTAGTCTCAGCGATGACAGCTCAGGAGAAAATCTTTCCAGTGATGAGTTTGACAAGAAGGCGGGTGCCCTGGCTCACCAGATAGATGGGCTGAAGAAGAAGCTACTGGCTGACCAGATCCGACAACGTGTCCAGAGCAAACCAGAGTCACCCCAGTCCTCCTTAAAGTCACATGAACATGGTCGCTCATCCAAGTCCTCGCATGATAAGGTAGGGAAACCTTACACAGTTTACAAAGCTCCAGTATAGATGGGTTAAAACACCACATTGTTGTTTCTCAGGGGTAAGGACGGTGGACTTTTTGCTCTTCTTTAAAAGGCAGAAGCTGGTATGATGAGGAGGAACAGTTTCTTGTGGATAGACAACTTCTTTTGTGCAATATATGCATCGATTGAAATATAGAAGTTGTCAATTCATAAGAAATGTTCCTCCTTGACTTGCTCATTTAAAGAAATGTATGTGGTATTATGATCGTATTCTGCAAAGTGGAATGGTGCTATGTCCATTTGGAACTGTATTAATTGCCCCTACTACAATAAGGCTTCATTACAAAACACCAGTTGTTAACCGTCATTCATGAAGGGAAAGACCTGGGGTAGATTAGGTCTTCAGCAACCCATGCTTGCCACAAAAGGCGACTATGCTTGTGGTAAGAGGCGACTAACGGATCGATGGTCAGGCTCGCTGACTTGGTTGACACATGTCATCGGTTCCCAATTGAGCAGATCGATGCTCATGTTGTTGATCTCTGGATTGTCTGGTCCAGACTCGATTATTTACAGACCGCCACCATATAGCTGGAATATTGCTGAGTGTGGCGTAAAACAAAACTCACTCACTCACTCACTCACTCACTCACTCACTCACTCACTCACTCACTCACTCACTCACTCACTCACTCACTCACTCACTCACTCACTCACTCACTCACTCACTCACTCACTCACTCACTCACTCACTCACTCACTCACTCACTCACTCACTCACTCACTCACTCACTCTTGAAGGGAAAAGGTACAGACATATATATGGTAACATGAATGGGTTGTATGCCACCCCCAGTCTATTGATGTACTGCAATCTGATGCTCTCTAGTCTTGTGGTGTAGTGTGATCTGATGCCCTCCGAACAAGTTGTGTACTTGGATCTGTTTTCCCCTAGTCTAGAGATGTACTACAGTTTGATAACCCAACACAAGTACTGTACTATCACCTCATGTCCCTAGTGCTGTACTATGATCTGTTGTATTTGTCAGGAGCGGAAGTTGAGGGAGGAGGAGTTACGGCAGCTGGAGGCGGAGCTGCAGCACCAGCAGAAGCAGCTCAAGCACCTCCAGAAGCAGGATAAGGAAGCAGCCCAGAACTTGCCGGAACAGGCATCATCAGGAGCGTCCTCCCCATGCCACAGCAGCACCACAGGACTCAAACTCCACATCAGTAAAGCTGCAATAGCTGTAAGTAGGCCATGTCCCTCTGGCCTCAGGGTACTTCTTAGGATACTTATATAGCGCACATATCCAGGCAACTAGTGCTTGCTCAAGGCGCTGATATTTTTTCCTCGATCATTGGATGTCAATCTCAATGGCACATCGTATTATCAATCTCAACTCCCTGGGAAGTATACAACTCTTGCAGCCACTAGGCGCTCCGAGTTATTGTGGCTTTCTCATCCTAACGAGGTGCCCAATTCACAGCTGGGTGGACTGGGACACACAGTCACAGTACTTTGTCCAAGTTTACTGCACATTGCTGTACCCGCAACTAGGTGTTTGCATGTATTCATGTGGCCACCATCTGGTCATATACCAACGGATTCGTGGGTTCTTTTAAGTGCACAGGGTTGTGTACTGTACACTAGGGGTTGTGACAACACTGAAAGAGTCTGCACACAAAGTTGACTCCAAGGTTTTTACACCTGGTCAGAGGTGGGCTTGATCTCGACACCTCAACCTCGTTGGATCACTAGCCTGGCGCCTTAGCCAGCTCTCCCACCGAGCCCAGTAACTTCACATGCTCGTTGAGTCACCAGTATTATAGTTGACAGAGTCCTGAGATGGATATTTGGATGGTTTCCAAACATGACTGATGATAACTCTAAACTAAACTTGTTATGTTATGTGTGATATTGTTTAAATATATAGGTCTATTATCTTATCATAGTATGGGTATTTGATAATTTTGTAAATCAACTTTATGTATAACTTTTAAGTGTGATAATTCTTGCAAAAATGTGAAACCTTTTTGCAGCATTGCCATTATCTTGTATCATCAAACTACAAATACATCTTCAGATTTTCAACAGGAGCCGTTTTTACTGTAAGTTATTCATGTGTAGGTGTACTCTATATTAGCACATTCTTTTCATTCTGTTGCAGAAACACCTAAACCACAGACTAGGAGAAGATGGTCCAGGAACTTCAAAGTCAAGTCAAAATACCTCGGGTAGTGACTCAGGGGGAGACAACTCTAATAATTCTGATTCAGGTCAGTCACCACTGCAACATGACTTTCTCAAATGAGAACATTTTGTTTTGTCATTTCTGGTGAACATTTAAAATTGTGTCAGTCATTGACTTTAGCTGGGTAAATCCTGATGTAGACATTAAAAAATGTTTTCAAAAGCAAATACAGGTGGATGGTGTATTTTGCTCATAATTTCAAACTTTGTAATGTTGTAACCAAAAGTTGTCAGAGATGTACTGTTTGCAATGATCTGATGCCCAAGTCCAGTCAAAGTTGGACATTGTAACTAGTCCTAAATTAAACTGACCAACTGGGCAAGCCTAGCCCCCTTAAATTATAGTCTCCTTATAAATTACATATATGATCCCAATATTCATGGACGACATTGTGTACATTGCAGAGAGTGACAGTGACAACTCTGAAGATGACAGCGGGGACAGCGACTCGGAAAGTGACCCCGATGCCTCCGTAACGAGGAAGGGCCACAAAAAACAAGGACTGAAGATGGGGAGGAGGGTGAGCATGTGTTTCCTAGTTGCGTATCATTTACATGCCAATTGGGAGAAAGTCATTTTTATGATTTTTTTCTCGGACATGACTTTTGAAAATTTGAAGCAGGAATTAAGCCTTGTGTTTTGTATTATTTTTGTGTTATTTTTGACTATCTTAAATGGTTCTATGCAATTAGTGAAATATTTTTTAGAATTTGTGGATGTTTTTAGATATTTAATTTGAATACATAAATGTTGCTAGATCTTGTTTTGAGCATCAAATGTTATTTCCTGGGGAATGTCTTTAGTATACTTTTTTTTTATTTGAAATGTTGTTTCTTTGAATGTTGGATATAGGATGGGTAAAGGGAGATAACTCATCACCTTATTGTAGTTAATTTTTCATTCAAGGGTATTGTGGGCTATAAACACATGACAGATATCAGAAAATGCCCTCAGAATATGGTAACCTTTACATATAAGAATAAAATGGTACTCATCTTCAACATAATTATGATTACATAATGTGCAAATTCATTCCACATATTGTACTGAAAAGAGAATGCCATGTTTTATTTTCATAGATAGAGATCATATTTTAATCAATCTATTGCAACAACAGCTTCACCAGCAAAGCGTCGCCGCATCATTACAAATGAAAATGACCTTCGCATTCCCCTGGAACATGGATGGCGACGGCAGACCACAATTCACACGATGGGTCGCAGAGGCATTGTGGGAGAAGTGCTGTACTTTGCACCTTGTGGGAAGAAGATGAAAACAATACCTGATGTTATGCGGGTGAGAGGATCTGTTTTTCATTCATTTAATGCAGAGCTGTCAACCCCTAAAGATGGTTTGGAGTGAGACTGAAAAAAATAAGCCGGGGTCCAGCCGGGGTCATGTTGAGGGCGACGCCCTGGTGGGGGGTCTCTGGGGGGCAAAGCCCCCCCCCAAAATGAAGTTTAGTGATATTCAGGAGCATTTGGAGCCTTCTGGTGGCATTATTTTGACACTAAAAGATGCATGCTAATTAATAATAATAAGCCGAATCATTCGCATAAACATCGTTTAAGTACTTCGTTCATTCAGGCGTTCTTTCAATGTTCAACTTTACGCAAAAACAAACGAAAATGCGTATTAATTTTGAAATTATTTTTGGCTACCAGATATGCGTGAGATTATTATTTGGAGGCGTGAGAGCGTGACATTTGTCAATAAAGCGTGAGACTCATGCCAAATGCGTGAGAGTTGACAGGTTTGTTAATGGTTCAATATCATGGGTGACCCAGTGGTTCTCAAAACTGCAATTTTCTATGCAGAGTTGCTTCCCTTGCTACAGTATTGCTACTTTGAATAACAACTCCTAAACTCTTGCGATAAAATTTAAAAAAATAAAAAATAACAGTCCCTTTGACTGACAAGCAGTAAGAAAGGACAATAAATATTGATAGTTAGATATTTCTGACTGGCTTAGTTTACTTTTGTGAACATTTTGCACATTGTTTTGGGTGAAAACCTACCACTGACAATGGCTGCCTGATTTCTGTTATAGTACTTGGATCGAAACAGCATCACAGACCTGTCGCGAGACAATTTTACCTTCAACACCAAGGTCAATGTGGGCGAGTTCTCCGAGATGAGACATGGACATGTGGTGAGTGGGGCTGGTCGTCATACACAGCTTTCATGATGCTCACGGACCTGTGAAGATCCGGGTTAGAATTGGTCTTCAGCAACCCATGGTTGTTGTAAGAGGCGACTAATGGGATCGAGTGGTCAGGCTCGCTGACTTGGTTGACACTTGTCATCGTATCCCAATTGCGTAGATCAATGCTCATGATGTTGATCACTGGATTGTCTGGTCCAGACTCGATTATTTACAGATCGCCGCCATATAGCTAGAATATTGCTGTGTGCGGCGTTACACAACAATAAATCAATCCATCAATAATGCTTACAGAAATAAAAGTTCCATATTCAAATTAAGTATTTCATCCCACCCACCTCAATTTTTTTTAAAGTAATATTTTTACAATTTCAGTTTTATTATTTTTGTTTGGAAAATTATATGAACAAATTGATGATGAAAGTTTATATCCATTTATAACTTAAATACAGGTGGTCAAGTTTTGACATTTCACAGTCAATTTTAAGCAAAGTCGTAATCAATTAAAACAGAGTTTAGACCCTTAAATTACAGTGAACTGTTTCAGACTAATGAGTTAGTTAAATTGATATTTGACCCAAACTACATTGATGAAGAAATCCATGCTGCGACTCCCTCACTCCCTTACTCACTCGACCGCCTCCGTGGTGTAGTGGTTAGAGCATCCACCCTGAGAGCGGAAGGTCGCGGGTTCAATCCCCGACCGTGTCATACCAAAAGACGTTAAAATATGGTACTTGTTGGTCCCTGCCTGGTGCTCGGCATTAATGGGTACAACAAGGATTGGTCGGCTCGGAGTCAGTATAATGTGTCTGAGTGGGGTATTCCTGCTTCACTGCGGCATGGTATCTCAATGGGCTAGCACTATAAAACCAGCTGAAATCTGGGCTAGTACAAGCAGCCCCACATACACATACACATACACACACATGCACGTCGTCATATGAGCGAAATATTGTCAAGCACGACGTAAAACCCAATTTCACCTGACCCCTTACTCACTCACTCTGTAGATGCCTGTGCCACTGGTGGAAGCAGAGATACTGGAACGTATCGCGATGTCTAAGGGCAAGCGAGCCAGGATGAAGGAGCTGGCCCAGAAGAGGAAGGAGAAGGCCCAGAAACAACAGGAGCTGGCCAAACACTTTATGGAGATGAAGTTGAAGAGGAAGCTGGAGCAGCAAGGTCAGTACTTACCCGAGGTTGTGCTAATACTGGCAGTATTATACTAGGAATGTGCCAATACTGGCAGCACTCTGTTAGGGGACGTGTCATAATTATCAGTACTGTACTTGCATAAGGAATGTATGAATGTTAGCAGTGATATACTTACCTACGGGATGTTTCAATACTAGCAGTACTATATGAGGGAATATTTCAATACTAGCAATACTATACGAGGGAATATTTCAATACTAGCAGTACTGTACTAGGGAATGTTTCAATACTAGCAGTACAGTACTAGGGAATGTTTCAATACTAGCAGTACTGTACTAGGGAATGTTTCAATACTAGCAGTACTTCACTAGGGAATATTTCAATACTAGCAGTACTGTACTAGGGAATGTTTCAATACTAGCAGTATTATACTAGGGAATATTTTAATGCTAGCAGTATTATACTAGGGAATATTTTAATACTAGCAGTACTATGCTAGGGGATATTTCAATACTGATAGTATCATGGTTGCTTATGGTATGTATCAATATTGGCAGTACTATACTTGCAGTACTATCAATGCTATCAACACTGATCTAGAGGATGTATCAATACTACCAGTACTATACTAGAGGATGTGTCAATACTAACAGTACTATAACAGGGGATTTGTGAATGTTGACAGTACTATATTTGCATAGGGAATGTGACTGTACTACCAGAACTATTCTTGCCTTGGAGGTGTTTCAGTACTACCAGTACTGTAGTATGGGGTATGTCAAAACTGGCATTCCCCTTCTTTCTTATGTGATACATCCGCAGTTGCAGTACTTTTTGGGGGTGATGTGCAATTTTTGCAGTACTTTTAGAATGAAAGTGTCAGTACTACCAGTACTTCGTTTCATGAAGTCAATACTGGCCATACCATACTAGGAAAGGAATACAGTGGCAGTTAGCTCATGGGTTGATACTGCAGTACCATAATTTGTTAGAGGATGCATCAAAAGGGACATTTCTAGGTTAGATACCATGTCAGTGCTTTACATTCGTAAACAAAATATACCAAAATGAACTTTTTGTATTTTGAAAATATGTTATGTGAAACTTTGACCTTTTTTGTGTTACATTTTGCATCCTTTTCCGGTTTCTCTGTTTTGCTGTGGTTGTCAAATTCATGCATGTTGTTGAAGAGTCTGTCTGTGGTTGCCATGGTTACGTGTCAGCGAACACCAGGAATAAAATTTTCTTTGGAAATTCTTCCTCTTGAGGATTATTTTCTGCATTGTGTTTTAGTTTGTGTTTGTTTGCTGATAATGCTTTTACGAGGTCTGTGATTTAAACTGAAAGTTATTTTTTCAGAGGCTCATTCTATTGGTAAGACATTTGCTGCTTATTCTCCAGCTTTGACGCTATCAGCCCTTTCACGATGACACTAGCCTATGATTGCTTGTTCAGTAACTGTGTGGCCTCGTTTGGTTGAGAAACAAAAACACAATAATACAAATGTTGCTTGTGAAAGGGAGAAAGAAAGAAATAAGCTGAACTACTGCAAAAATGTTTGTGTCGTGAAAGTTGATTTCACTTAGAATTATCCGTATGTGTTGTAGTTCATTAAGAACTGTCTTATGTTGACCACTAACCCAATACCTTGGTCCGTCCGGTACTATATGTTCCACACATCCTTCCTTCCTCCTTCCCACTCGTCTTTCTCCACCCCTCCCTCTTTCCCTGCTTCTCCGTCTTTCTCTTTCTCCCTTCCCCTACCTCTCTCTCCCTTCCTCTTTGCCTCCTGTCTTTCTCTCTACCTCCCCTGATCTCTCGCCATCCTTTCCTCTCTCTGCCCCTGTCTTTCTCCCTCCCCCTCTTCTTTCTCTCTCCCAATCTCTCGCCATCCTTACCTCTGCCCCTTCTCTCCCTCCATCTTTATCTCTCCCTTTTCCTTCCCATACCCTTTCACTCTCTCTCTCATTCCTTCCACATACTCTCCCTCACTCACTCCAAAAGCAACATTCGCTCTTGTGATCAGACCAGTCAATTTCTTCATATTCTATGTAATACATGACACTTACCAATACTCTGAGCTTCTGAGAGTAACCGGTGATCATGGTAATCATATTTTAAAGGGAAATTTCATGAATAAGTATTTTTTTTAAGGAAATATATTGTTGTAAGTTAAAAACTAATACCAACAAATTTGGAAACCAGACATCAATATTTTGCTGATGATTGAAATAATAGCATTTCCTATTTCCTTGTTCACATGTCACATGATCAGTCTTGTGCCATTATTTGAATCTGTCTGTTTTGTTCCTATTGAATTCTAGGAACTAGTGTGTGGTGTTCTCTGTCCCAATTGCTAATACCAAGTTCTTTTATTCCTCCAAAACCATACCTCTATTACATCGTTGACATAATCTTGTATTTCGGTTATCATCACAGTTTAAAAGATTTTCAACAGAAGTCCGTTTCACAATGAGTTCACCATAAATAGTAATGAGGGTAACAGTATCCCTCTATCCAGCGGTCTGTGTATGCAATCGGTGGGAAAACCTCATCATTTTTCTGAAACAATAACTGAAACAATTTTCCGAGTATTTCTAGGAGACAGCGTGTGTTGAATTCACTGTTGTAAGAACATCTGAAATGATTGTCTGAGTATTTCTAGGAGACAGCGTGTGTTGAATTCACTGTTGTAAGAACATCTAAGAACATCTGAAATGAGTATTTCTAGGAGACAGCGTGTGTTGAATTCACTGTTGTAAGAACATCTGAAATGATTGTCTGAGTATTTCTAGGAGACAGCGTGTGTTGAATTCACTGTTGTAAGAACATCTGAAATGATTGTCTGAGTATTTCTAGGAGACAGCGTGTGTTGAATTCACTGTTGTAAGAACATCTGAAATGATTGTCTGAGTATTTCTAGGAGACAGCGTGTGTTGAATTCACTGTTGTAAGAACATCTGAAATGATTGTCTGAGTATTCTACGAGACAGTGTGTGATATTCCGTGTTCTAAGCACAAATGTCTAGTTCTTTTTCTGCTGTAGTGATATCACATTTACAATGTATTCAATGCCAGCTTTGCTTTAAGTGACATTTTGTCACCACAGCACTGTTTTATGAAAACTGTATCAATTGAGACATCCTCAGGAATTATTTTCTGCCTCAGAAATATATTCTCATTAGCATCATAATTATGTATTATTATTTCTTGGAGGACAATTTACTGGAAATGTTCTTGCTGAACAATAACAAATATATTGTTTGCACAGGCATCTTGAATTTGGTTAGTAAACTGACAAGCAGTAAGGTTGGGACTGATTTGATTAAAACGGAGTTGTATATGAGTGTTATTCATTTAGATAGTACCCTGTATGATGTGGTAGTCCAAGGTGAACAGTATATTAACGTGTATTCAGTTTTATTATGCAGACATATTGGTCTGCGCAGCCGTTGTCTTTTTGCATGATTCAAAATTGTATTATTTTTTTTTTAAATGGGTTGTGCTTTGGTGTTTTACTTGTTGAATCTAGTTCTTGAATGCCCTGTTGTCTAGTCCGTGAAAAGTGACTTTGGATTTGGTTTGAATCTAAAACTAAAGAACCATGAATGCTGTTTTACTAAGAAATCAAAATACAGGTATAATTACAGGTATTAGTACTTGAATGTGGATTTGTACCTTCCACAAAATGTTATGCAACAAAGTTTTTTTATGAGATTTAATGGAAAAACGACAGTTGAGAAAAGGACAAAGATCAATTAATTGTGTTCAATAAGCAGTGTTTCTTTTTCATAATGATCTTTAATAAGAAAAATAACAAAATTGGTTTGTAAGTTCCTCATAAACAAATGAAAGGCTGCCGTCCCCAACATCTACTTAATGTAGGAAACCTTTAGAGTAAAGTTGACTCTGTGTATTTGTAGAGCTTGCGAAAAAAGCTGCAGAGAACAAATTTCAGAAGAGACTTGACTTACAAAGGCAGAAAGAGCTATTGAAGAAGTCAAAACAGCTCAAAGGTAGGCAACTGAAGTGTTGCTCCAATTGCTTTATTTTTTGTTCATAACCCCCACCCAGTTCCCAAGACCTGTATATCCCTTTGTTTATATATCTTATTGTCACACATCTCACTATTTACACACTTTACGAAATTTTTATTTTTCAAAGATGATGGTTGGAAATGGTTTTATTGGAATGAAATGATAATTTGATAAGTTTTTGTGACTAACAAACATCCTTTTTGTGCGCTAGCCCTCTTTTATCTAACATTTGTGTTTGATCCCCCTGTGTTGCTATAATCCCATCCTTCCCATCCCTCCGTTAATCCGTCAGTAGTACTAGTTCTGCACCATTGTACTAGCCGATGTACACTTCGACTAACGACTACTTGTTCTTATACATGGCAGGGATTGTTTTCTTAACTAGAAACCCTTTTATTGTTTAGTTAGAAATTTCAAACCTTTGTAAGCAATACATGAGCACATTTGTTTTGTTTTCTTGAGCAAAGGATGTAATTATATTAAATTTAAAATCCAATATTTTCATTGGCTAATGGAAGTTGACATTCTTCTTCGATATTCTCAAATTTGAAATTTCATTATTTTGGAAAGTCCAAGGCTTGATATGATTAGTGGACCGGTCGTCAGTATGGTAGGTACTGGAATGGTTGTGTATATACTGTGTTGAGTTGGTTCTTTGCATGAATGTTGTGGTGTGAGTATAATATGCAACTTTGTCTAAGAATAGCGTTTGTTTTAACTGCATTCCTGGGTATTGGTGCCTTATCGGGTAATTTGCTTTTGGAATATCTTTCTTTCCAATGGGTGAAATTTCTTTTCAGGTTCTAATTTTCAAACCTCTTCCTTTATGTTTCATGTGTAATGGTCTTTTTTTATTGTGTGGTAGATAAGGAGGTATTGTGTTCTAGTCGTGTTATGCAGAGCTGATGAAGTTTCAATGCAAACAAAATGGCTGAATTGCCCTACCATGCTTTATTTTGAGGGTACCGATGCTGTGTTTTAGCTGCCGAGCGTCGGAAACAGAAGGAACAGAATAAGGTAATGAAACAGCAGGAGAAGGTTCGAAGACAGGAACAGATGAGGCAGGAAAGAGAGATGAGAGCCCAGCACATTCTTGAGGTAGGCGGCCATTTTGAATTTTCAGGCAATTACAAGAAGTCATCATTTTAACCTGGAATACTAATTGTGAACTGTGACTTTGGGTAGTGAAACTAATGACAACAACGTCAGGCCTTCAATCTAGCTGTATTTCTGGGGTTCAGAACATCAGGGAAAAGATTAGTTAGAATGTTGTTCAGTCTGTTGAGGGTCATGGCTGCTTGGTTGTTAAATATATATACTTCTCTTCAAAAGTTTAGACTCACTTAAAACACTCACTATATGTTATGTATATATGTATGGTTTCATTGAAGATTGATTTCTCCACTAACTTGGGGGAACCAATTGCAAACTTCATGCAGATGAATTGCACAAGGATCATGCATCAAATTGCTGAAAAGCATGTGCAAACAGGGTTCGATATACCCCATATATTAGTGTGCCATGGCACGGTAAATATTGAATTGGCACAGATAAAAAATGTTCTTGGTGCCCTTTTGACACGCCTAATTATTTAGAGACATAACTCACATTTAGTCATTTAATCCCCCAAACAATTATTTTTTCCTAATTAATAATACCATACATATTTGAATGCTCATAAACCCTTTTCTTTGTTTAACAATAAATTCAAATGATCATGATCATTGTCATTTATTTTAAAAACATGTGGGCATACTCGATTTCTGAAAGGCACACCTAAAATATTTGTCTGGTGCCCTAAGGCACACTTAGAAAGATAAGTATTTCTATACCTGGCAGATATTGTGCATGTGACCAGCTGCGTTGTGGTGTAAAGTTTTGTTAAGAATTAACCATTTTTCACTGATTTTCATCATTTACTGAACTCATGACAATAATCTTTTCAATGTTACAAATTTGTTTTATAATACATCAGTTCATGTGTAAACAGTACCATTTGAACAATATGGACTATTTTGCAAAATTTAGTTTAGAACAGTTGCCAGAAGTAAGTGTCTATTTTTACACTTGTGAGTCTAAACTTTTTATGAGAAGTATATTATTGATCATTGTCATTACTGACAGTAAGATATATTTGAGAAACAGCATGAATTCCATCTGAGGTTTTATCACAACCCTTTGTTCATGTATATTACTTATTTGGAAGTTTTTTTCTGGCTGTAATAGTTTTGAAATTGTATGTTTCATTGAACTATGTTAGACCTCGCTTCAACTGAAAGATCATTGTGTTCCTGACTTTGTCTCAGGGCGGTGGGGTAGCCCAGTGGTTAAAGCGTTCGCTCGTCACGCCAAAGACCCGGTTCGATTCCCCACATAGGTACAATGTGAGAAGCCCATTTCTGGTGTGCCCTGCCGTGATATTGCTGGAATATTGCTAAAAGCGGCGTAAAACCATACTCACTCACTCACTGACTTTGTCTCAGCATTACTCCACATGTGTTCATTGTATACGGGATGGATGCATAGCCAGAATCTATTTGTAATGTTACACAGTGGGGACAGTTCACAGTATTGGTACTCTAAACATGACAACTTTGGCCAGACCAGTTGAGTTTCTCATTTAACACTCACGCCGACCCTAATATTTGGCCAAGTTAAGAAACAAAATTAATAGGATTTTAGTTAAGATATATTTTTGGTCTGTACAGGGCTTCCTTTCACAAAGCACTAAGGTGATCGTAAGTCACTAAGGTAACCTTAGTGCAATGTTAAAGAATGGGAGTTAAGGTTAACCTTAGTAAAGGTTGCTTCGTGAGAGGAGACCCTGGTTTACAATATCAGAATGTAGTTCTTGCTACTGCTTCATAAAGATCTCAGGACATTTTATTATTGGTCACATTGGAACAACTTTTCATGAACTTTTACCAACCATTGGAATGTTCAACACGAGGTTGGCATTAGCTAGCCAGAAAGCATCTTTCTCAAGCTACAACTTCAATTTCAGAATATGCTTTGAAAATACATTACTTCATAGTAGTTACCACTAGCTTTGGAAAGTCTCTTCAAGTTCAGATATTTATACCACTGCATGGGGAAATGGGTAATGCTTTGATAAAATTGGTCATGCAGCCTGTTATTGTTGTTTCCAAAAATGTCAAAACATAACTTTCATGGGCCTAGATATTTGATGCTCTTAGCGCTAAGATAGTCGTAAGTGCCATACATTAACATTAACTTATGATATCGATGATCTTAGCTCTAAGAGAGCTTCGAAAATCTAGGCCCAGATCTGGTAAGTGACTCGTATTGGTTGGGTGAATTTTTTCTCATGAGACCTGAAATGGAATGTCCTCAAATCTATGTTCAGCGAGAACTAGGATATAATTTTTAGAAATTGCAAGATATTTGTACAGGAAAAACCCTCTGTGACAATTGCTTTATTTATTTTTCCTTCTACCTGTTGGCAAGTTGGCCAAGCTAAACTGTGAAAGGTGAATGCAGACTGGTTTGGCCTTTGTTAAGATAGTAGCAGTTTTAAACAGAGTTTTGTGGAATATTACTGAGTTGCCAGGATGCTGTATTAAGGCTTGAGGATCTCTGATCTTCACAGGGTTGAATTGTGTGTTTCTTTGTTTGCCTTCAACTGCAAATGAGAGCAGCTTTTCAAGGATTTGTATCACTGTCAGGACAAATTTTCAGGCATTTAGTATTGATTAGAATGGCTTTCTGTCAGATTTTCATGCACCAAAACCATCAAGAGATGAACTTGGTTCAGTTTTTGAACACTGGAAAATCACTTTGTCTGAAAGGGGAAACTGACATTTGATAAATGGCCAAATGTGTGAAATATATTCAAAAGTTTGTCTTTGTTTGGCATAAGAAAAACTATAATGATTTTGCTATAAAATTAGTATTGTTCATTGCAGTCCAACATACTCTGGTTTCATATGGAGAGAGTAAGTTGATTGACAGTGATTGACAGCTTGTCTTGTCAGGCCAGCCAATGAAATTTGATATTTGTCAGGCATTTGTGAACAGTGTCTAAATGTTTATCAAACTTCATTGCTAATTGTTGTTTGTATTTGTAAGGAGACTTTGCTATCTCTTCAAATTGATGAAATCAACATTGGAAAGAGCAGTGTAGAAACATATTCTTTATATTTTAAATGTTTAGCCTTTCCTTTATGTTATCCTATTTTTGAAATGCAGCTGTCTTTGAAATTTGTTTAATGAAATAATAAGATACTTTCTGTGCTTGATCTAAGTTGGAAGAGTATTTCTTATGGATATAAACTAGAAACAACATAGCAATTACAAATCAATACATTCCAGTAAAAAAAGGAGTATTCATAATATTTCATTAGCTGGCCTCTGATTGGTTGTTTTTCTTGATTGACAGCTGTCAATCTACTGTACATCTATATCACCTATTGTAGGCTTGCTGTATTCCTCAGCTCTATGTATCTGCTTTTTACTTAAACTATTTTATCATTAACTTTGTTCACAAACACGTTAGATCATATCCATAGCCTCATCTATTGGCATAAACACTGGGTCTGACTAGTCTCCTGTCACAGTTATTGAAATATAAATTGGAAAATGTCGGAGTTATTAAAAAAATGGGATACATCCCCTGAATAAAGCATGAACTGCATGTTCATATTGAAAATGTTTGGAAAAGTGTTAAGATGAGACGTATAGTCATGCATGAGTACAGTTTTTAGGTCAGGTTAATTAATGCTGTTAATTAATGTAGATTAGAGCAGTAATACTGGGTCAGTGCATGTGCATGATAGGCTAGTATCACTAAAATATTTATGTTACGTGAAATTAACCTGTCCATTATCAAGAATTTTTAAAGTTGTCATTGGTTTAAAATTGTCTAGAACATAAGTTTAATATATGCTGCACCTGAAAAATTAAGGGGTCCAATTAACCTGTCCATTATCAAGAATTTCTAAAGTTGTCATTGGTTTAAAATTGTTGAGAACATAAAGTTAATATATGGTGCCCCTGAAAAATTAAGGGGTTCAATTAACCAGCACGTTATCGAGAATTTTCATAAGTTGTGATGTTGGTTTAAAATTGTCTGGAACATAAATTTAATATATGCTATGATATATGCTGCCCTTGAAAAGTTAAGTACCTTGTTATTATTTCTAATCACTATAATTACATTGACTGATTAACGGTTATGCGAAAGAATTGGTTGACGTTCTGGTTGAGTAAACAAGAATGCCACTTTGTTAGGTGGTCAGTAGTATGTGGATATTATAGATTGGACAGGGAATGGTAAACTCATCATTTGAATAAGAAAACTGAACAAATATATTTGTGTAATGAAGTCTGAAAGATTTTCCCTTCACAGTTTGTAACCTCAGTGAGCAAATACTTCTGTACACAATAGGGGCCGTGGGGAAGCCTAGTGGTTAAAGCGTTGGCTCGTCACGCCGAAGACCCGGGTTTGAATCCCCACATGGGTACAATGTGTGAAGCCCATTTCTGGTGTCCCCTGCTGTGATGTTGCTGGAATATTGCTAAAAGCGGCGTAAAACCAAACTCAGTCAGTCAGTCTTTACACAATAGTATTATTCTTGTATTGTTAACAGTCTGTATCTAAACGCTAATATCACTACTAAAATGCTTTTAATACAGTATTGAGCTCATAGCATGGTCACGAACTGCAGCCATGGATTGTGCTTGTTGCCTGAGACTTTTTGTCTGACTGTGGCTACAGTTTGTACAGGTTTTCTTTCTCAGGAAACATAAGCATTAGGATTATTGAGTAAAAGTTGATTTACACCATGACAACAATGAATACTTAAATATGCATAGTAGTAGTATGGATTAAAGGTCAACTCATAATTATTTTGTACCCACAGAAAGGGTTATCATCACCTTGTCAGCTGTACATTTAGGTTTAGTGGTGAAATTTGATTCACAGTATGAGAACAATGGCAAGCTAAATATGTCTTAGTGTATATTCAATACATAAATAGGGGCGGTGGGGTAGCCTAATGGTTAAAGCGTTGGCTCGTCACGCCGAAGACCCGGGTTCGAATCCCCACATGGGCACAATGTGTGAAGCCCATTTCTGGTGTCCCCCGCCGTGATGTTGCTGGAATATTGCTAAAAGCTGCGTAAAACCAAACTCAGTCAGTCAGTCAATACATAAATATCTTATAGCACCAGATAGAGTTATCTCCCTTTGTTTACTGAAAATTCAGGTTTAGTTGTAACAGTTTATCCACAGTTTGATAATAATTACGAGCTAAATTTCCTAAATAATATCCAGTTGTAAATGTCATGCAAGCAGAGAGAGTAATCTCTCTTTGTTAAAGAGTTATCTCCCTTCAACAAAAGCAAATTTCAGCACTCCCCTTATGTATTTCAGCAAGGTATTATTTTGACTGAACAGTTATGCTTGTAGGTATTTAGTTGTAATTCTGCTTTGACCAGTGATTTCTAAAGTGTGTCTTGGGCTCTAAGCTTTGTGACTTATCCTGCTTATCTGTCTTGTGTTCTTGTCAAGCTGCTCTCATTGGTCAGTATCTGCTGCATGTGGCATTTGATTGGTTAGTTTAAGTTGAAATCTCAGTTAGGCCAATATCAATTGTTAGGATTAACTGTCTAAATTCTAATTGTATTTTTTGGCATGGTCATTGTTGTGTATTAGTGATATGAATCTGCCAAAGAATCATTTATAGAAAATGAATCAATCTTCAGACAAGCTCATATGTTCCAAAAGATCACTATGGCAGCAGTTGGTGATGAAATATTGCACATTAATGCTGATGGGATGTAAAGTGAAATATTCCATCAGAATCTTCTTGAAGTTAATTGGAATATATACATATGTCAAGTAGACTTGTTACACTTGATGATGATGATGATGATGATGATGATGATGATGATGATGATAGACTTGTTACACTTGATGATGATGATGATGATGGTGATGGTGATGATGTTTCAAGGAGAGAGAGATGAAGCGACAGCAAGCCGTCATGATGAGGGAGCAGGTAATGAAGAATCTCAGCATCGTACGTCCACCTCCTCACATCACCGGCTATACCCTGCTACACTTATCAATCCCATATTTCTTCATTGTTCACTATCAGCTGTTTTGCATGGAGTCATCTCTTAGGAATGACGTGCAAAAAAGGATTTATAATGCACTTCTACCATAATATAAATCTTTGTACTATAATATAAATCTTCTTCCTTTCAAAAGCTTTCTACCTCACTTTTTTCCAAATATATATATTTAGCTCATTGAATGTGGACTGAATGAACCATGATCGTAAACATAACACGAGAGTATATATTACTGATCAAACCATTACCTAATTAGGAAATAATAATTTCCATCTACTTCTTAGTTGTCTAATGCTGTACTTAGCAATATTCCAGCTATATTGCGGCGATCTGTATATAATCGAGTTTGGACCAAACAATCCAGTGATCAACAGGATGTGCCTTGACGTACGATGTGTGTCAACAAAGTCAGTGAGCTGATCCCGTTAGCTGCTTCCTACCACAAGCATGGGTTTTTGAAGACCAATTCTAATTTGGATCTTCATGGGTACAATTCCATCTTCAGTAGTAAGACATGTAGGAATTGTACTGACTTAATGAGTGTAGGTCTTCTTCAGGGTTCTGTTCCTCAAAGTGATTGTAGCTCAGTGATGGTATTTAATCCCGTACTTAAACGGGCGGTGGGGTAGCCTAGTGGTCAAAGCGTTCGCTCGTCAAGCCGAAGACCCGGGTTCGATTCCCCACATGGGTACAATGTGTGAAGCCCATTTCTGGTGTCCCCCACCATGATATTGCTGGAATATTGCTAAAAGCGGTGTAAAACTAAACTCACTCACTCACCCATACTTAAACACACATTGATGACATATGTCTGTGTTTGCTGTATGGTCTGTTTGGTAACACTGGACTCTAGGATAGAGAAACAGTTGATGCGAATGATGAAGAAAGGAGGGGATATGTTAACTGCAGTAATATTGGCCTTTAATCAGCATATGATTCCAAGTACGAGCACCCTATAATTCACCCAATGTTTCACGGCCATTTATTGAAATGAACTAGATGCTTTAAATGTTCATTAGAGCTACCGGTAATATCCTTTGAAAACAAAAAGTATTATTTCATACTGGAATCATCTGTTGAAAATTATTTTGTTCTGCACTTTTGTTCTAACAATTTGATTTTATGCATTATGATCAAATGACTGTTATTTATTATGTCTTGTTATTTTCTTCTTATGCAATAATTGCTGCTTATGCAATAATTGCCTTTGTTGTAGGTAAGGTATTTTTTACCATGTACACTGAACACAAAGAATATGTGAGCATGAATATTTTGGAGGGTATCTGTATGAAGTGGTGTGATGATTCTGAGAAAAATATCCCCAAGATGTTCATGAATGCTAGGGGTGGTGGGGTAGCCAAGTGGTTAAAGTGTCGCTCGTCATGCCCAGGTTCGATTCCCCACATGGGTACAATGTGTGAAGCCCATTTCTGGTGTCCCTCATCATGATACTGCTGGAATATTGCTAAAAGCAGCATAAAACCATACTCACTCACTCATGAATGCTGACCTCTCTTGTTAGGCGTGTATCCAGAGTAAGGGAGTGAAGTCAATACAATAGACAAGGGCGGTGGGGTAGCCTAGTGGTTAAAGCGTTGGCTCGTCACGCCGAAGACCCGGGTTCGATTCCCGAAATGGGCACAATGTGTTAAGCCCATTTCTGGTGTCCCCAGCCGTGATATTGCTGGAATATTGCTAAAAGCGGCGTAAAACTAAACTCAGTCAGTCAATACAATAGACAAGACTGGTCCTTTGGGTTTTAATCACTCATTTCCTGGTTTCCGTCCAAGCAGGATTTAGTTGTACCTAAATCGTAATAGTGTATGATAACTTAATTGTTAAAGTGTTTGCTCATCATACCGAAAGCTTGGGTTCGATTCCCCAGATGGATGCAATGTGTGAAGCCATGTCTGGTGTGCCCCTTCACAATATTGCAGGAATATTGCTAGAAGCAGCTTAAAAAGACATATTAACTCACTAAGAATAGCACAAGCTGGCTTTAGTAACACAATGAGGTGACAGGCTGTCATATTACTGAAAAAATGTTTTGAGCAGCACATAACAAAATTCACTCTGACTCATTCTGCATCTGTATATGCACTAAGCTTTTTCTTTAGTTTTTAAATTTACAAAATAACTATATCTTATAGATGAAAAGATTTTACAAAAGTAAGAGCTTTATTGCTCATCAGTCTTAAATGCTTGTTCTGTCTTTGAATTGTATGACGTGATGTTATGACTTGCAGGAACGTGAGAGACGGCGCCAGCACTTGCTGCTTGTCAAGGCTCTTGAGGCTCGAAAGAAACAAGAGGTGAGATGTTAACATGGTCCACCACCATCATACTCAGCGACATAAAAACATACTCACTCACTCACTCACTCACTCACTCACTCACTCACTCACTCACTCACTCACTCACTCACTCACTCACTCACTCACTCACTCACTCACTCACTCACTCACTCACTCTTTGAGACTGATTTAAACTGTAGTTGCTATCTGCCAAGTCTTGATGACTCATCTTGTTTTTCCAGGAGAAGGAGCGAGTGAAAGTAGAACGCTTACAAGAAAAACGGATATTCAGAGAAAGAAAACTGGTGAGCTTTTCTTGATTACAGTGGAGACAGCATTATTGAATTGTTTGAAGCTAATGAGTGTTGGATGATTTCAGAACAAATGAATGTAACAAGGCTAATGTTTATATTAGGGGTAGCCTAGTGGTTAAAGTGTTGACTCGTTACCCGAAGACCTGGGTTTGATTCCCCACATGGGTACAATGTGTGAAGCCCATTTCTGGTGTCCCCGCCATGATATTAATGAAATATTGCTAAAAGTGGCATAAAACTATAAGTTGGACACATCAGTGTTTGATTGTATTTGGAACCTAGTGTGAATGTTACGATTTCAGTGCTTGTGAATGTTATCTAATCTGTGTGTTCCATGTTGCTGCAGGAACAGCGTCGAGTGGAGCTTGAGATGGCGCGGGAGATGAAGCGGCCTAGTGAGGACATGGAGCTCCGTGACAATAGGGTCAGCCATTGTTGTTGATTTCACCCTGTCGTTTAAAGTTGGTTTTTGTGGTCAATGTGTGTTGTTGGTCTTCCGACAATAGATTGCCTGAATCAGACAGATGTTTAAAGGCTGTCACGATATTGCTGGAATATTGCTGACTGCGGCATAAATTAGATTTCCTGACTCACTTCTATCATTCTGTGAGATCAGCACTGATGTTAATGTGAGTAAGATTTGGTCCAGAGCACCCACGCTTGTCATAAGGGTGACAAACTTGATTGGCCGGTTGATGCACGTAAGATTAGATATGTTATTGACAGACTTTGTAGACGCTACCCAACAAAAATATAATATCCACAAAAAATGTAAAATAATCATTCTATTGGTGGATTTAGCTGATAAAAAACAACGGTTTTGTATTGAAATCTTTTGATCTTGCGCCAAACATTGGATCGTGGATTTTGTGTTGATTAACATGTACAAGGCTGGTGTATTTTCTGATTTTGTAATCAATTCTTTCTTCAAAGGAGTTCCCGGAATTTCCCAGAATCCATGGTGTACGTTTGGCAGGAGCTCCCTTTGCTGATTGTCTGATGGCGATAGAGTTCATGCATAACTTTGGGGATGCTCTTGGGCTTGGTGAGTAACACACCTTGATCTGAATGTTTTCATAGATATGTTTGTAAACTCTCCTCCATTCTCCACTGATTGAAAGGTTCCTTTCAAACTGACATTCAAGATCTGTCTGGTCCGTGTTTATGTTTTATCTTGCTGGATATGTTAGAAATCACGTTTTCATTTGACATTGTATGATCGAGAGCTCAATGATACATCCTCTTCCATGGTAATTACACTGAGCTAAACTGATGGGTTTGATGCTGATTTGGCTGATAGCGTGTTATCATACCCGCTGCTCACAACATCAGCCCAGGTTGGCTGGTCTGGGCCCTGTTTCACAAACATCAGCCCAGGTTGGCTGGTCTGGACTCCTAGGGAAAAGTCGGACTAAACAAATCAGGAGTATTGCTGTGAGTGACCCTGTTCTGTTGTAAAACAAAGCATTGCAGATGTTGAGCGACAACCACACACATGCTTCAGTGTTACCTAGGCTGTTGAATGAAGAAAGCTGCACAGAATGTATATTTTAACCTTGTTTCAGACAAAGATTCCATCCCCACGATGAAGATCCTCCAGAACGCACTGATGAACGATAATGATGAGGATATGGAGGAGTTTCTGTGCCTAATGTCTCATCTTGTTCGATTTGGACTGGATGATCCTGGTGTTCCAAACCCTAAAGAGGTCAGTGACCTGGTATAAGATTGTTATCAATGCATATGATGCATTCTGCAGTTCACTTTGCAGAGTTACTCCCCTTGCCCATGCCAGGATCTGCTGGTCATTGTTCTGAATACTTTACTTGCCCTGATAATGATTAGCTATGAGTTTTGTGTATCACCAACATGAACACCACACCAGGATGTTATTGAAATACTGTTGAAGTTCTTGCTGAGCCCAGCTCAATATCTCACTGGAAAAGGTGTGGTGTGACAGAATAATGTAAACAGACATATTGAGACAGGTTCAGAGCTACTCAGCCCCAGTCTTTAACAAATTATATTAAATAACCTTAATTTGAAATAACAAAATCCCAGTTCCTCTGAATTTTCATAAAATATTCAGATTTATATGTGTCTTAAAGAAATAATGTTGCTTTTGATAATCTCAGGCTGTGACGAAGCTTAACCAGAAGATTACAGACATTGAACTTACAGACTCCACCCTGTCCGAGATCCTCCGAATATTCATAATAGCCCGCAACGGCAAGAAGACTGAGGTAGGTGAACACCGTGACTAAACTGATGGGTCTTTACTGCGTGCTATCTCCAGTCAAGGCCAAGACATACAACACGGCTGACCAACTCATTTATACTACTAAGCCATGCCATCTGAGTCTTTCATATTACTGTATGTAATCCTTTTTAAAAAAAATAGTAATCTGTTCTAAAACATTATGGAAAGATAATTTTTCCCTGATTTTTACCAAAATAAATTGTTCACTGGACATACTGGGTTTTTTTCAAAACATGTTTCGGTCAGGTCTTAAAAAACTGTTCAATACCTTGTGTGAGAAAAATCGGTTGTGAGCCTTGAAGCGGAGACTGAATAAATAATTTGAGTCAAAGAGAAATTCCATCAGGGTGAACTGGAATGAAATTGAATAACTTAGACACAGCGACACAACCACCGGACAGAGACTTATGAGACTCTCCACATGGGTACAATGTGTGATACCCATTTCTGGTGTCCCCCCGCCATGATATTGCTAAAAGCGGTGTAAAACCAAACCCACTTGCTCACTCACAAGCTATATGAAGTCTCATATGCACAAGCAGCATTTGTGAAGAATTATCTATTATTCAGATGAGCGACTGGCTGGAAACGCAACCCCTTGAAGCCCTCAATCCCACCAAGAAGGCAGCCGTCCTGGCCTTTATATGCAACGAGTTGCTAGGCAGTCGTGTGATCTCTGGCGAGGTGGACAAGAACATAGAGACGATCAACACTCTTCGCAGAGACAAGTGGCTGGTGGAAGGAAAGCTGAGACAGTAGGTTTTCCTAAATATTTCAAAATATTTGGATTATTTATGCCTACATGAAAATAGAGGAACAATGTCTCTGTTCATAGCAAACCTCATCAGTCTGCTTGGCAAAGGTTTCAAAGCTATGACAAGCAGTCCCTATCAACAAATTATCTCCCTTGTTTTTATCTCCCTTGTTTTGATCACATTTACTCTTCTAGTATTCATGCAGTAATATTTACCTTCCTATCATTTTTATGACCAATACATTCTTCAAATAAGAACCATTGATTGTTCATTATGATATGATACATGAGATAAGATATGATATGATCATCAAGGGAGTTCTTTTCTGCTTGTTTCAGAAATCATATCCAAGTAATTTGGTACTTTTTGACACAAACAGTAATGAAGCACAGTTTTTAATATATTGTCGGCTTGCCTACATTTCAAGTATTTATGTTTATTGATATATGTAGATCTTTATTGATCCATATTGATATTTCTTGCTTAGATTGAGAATGATTCAAGCCAAGAAGTGTCGGAAAGCAGGAAAGCCCCTGGACGTATCATCCAACCAGCCTAATGTGGAGGAGGACAGCACAAACATGTCGGCCAGCAAACAAGGAAGTGACGATGAGGAGGACAAGGATGATGATGATGACAAGGATGACGACGACAAGGACGATGACAGTGGTAATGACAGCGATGCCACAAATACTACCAACGCCACAGGCGCCGTGTCGGAGGAGGTGAGAACACTATTCCACACTCATTTGCTGGAGTATGACATCTGATGTTACTTCTTCCTTGGTTAACACGGGGAGGATGTGGAGATTTCCTGGTTTTAGATGTGAACAGTAAACAAAATTACATGTTTCTGCTTCAAAACTCTACTACCTGCTTGATGAAGAGCTGAGTACGGAATGAGGCATAAGATACTACTAAAGGAATTTAACATTGCTCTTTTTTTCTTTCATATGATTGTAATGAATCTGTGATGAAATGATACCGGATTGTTGTATTTTGGTCAGTCCTCTGATTTTCTCATGCGACTATAACATATCTGGCATGGTATGACACTGATTTTCTACAATAGGTCTGCTATGTCATGCCATGGATATACTTTGCGTGGCAGATTCACTGTAGCCATGTGATGAAATTGTGTGTTCTTTTTACTTCCTGTGAGTGATGTGTAATTGAATTCTACTTGTGTAATGGAGCTGAATTTTCAATTTCAGGAAGAAGATGGGATCACTATTGAGGAATGTGAAAAGAAGATTGAAAAGCTTACAAAGGTAACTGTGGATGAAAGAATATATGTAGGAATAGATTACCAAAATTGTCAAAGCTAGTGGAGCTAGAGAGATCCATGACATCAGAACATTATATCATTTGAACATCTCCTCCCCTAATATTTTTTCTTGAAATGACAGTGAGTAAAATCTATGCTGTCACCATCATTGAATTGCGTAAAAGAATTATTATTTTATGTTTCTGACTTTCAGCAACATGGACTGTACAGGAACAAGGTTTTTGATGCTTCTCACAAATTGCGGGGATTGACGCTTGGCCAGGACAGATACAAGCGTCGATTCTGGATATTGCCTTACGCTGGTGGCCTGTACCTTGAAGGATTGGAGTCTTCAAAGGAGATTTATGATGATAACCCTGAGTTTGTTGGACTAAAGAAGAAGGCAGATGTGAAAGTAGAAGCAGACGTCAAGAAGGAAGCAGATGTTAAAAATGAAGCAGCCATTAAGAAAAAGGCAGATGTGAAAGAAGAAAAGATGGAGACAGATGAAGTAAAGAAAGAACAAGTGAAAGATGAAAAGGAAGAGGTGGTAAATGAGAAAGATGTGAGCACTGTGATTGAGAAGGGAGAAAAAGTTGTTAATGGTGAATGTGATTCAATGAAATTGGAATCGGAAAAGGACTCAGTGAAATCTGAAAGTTTAATAGTGGAGGAGTTGTCAAAGGTTGTGAAGGAAAATGGAGAAAATGAGGAAAAGAAAGAAAAGAGTAATTGTAAAATTGATACAAATTTGTTCCTCCAAAAGGCAGACATTACAAAACTTAGTGACATCTTGAAAATACCAAAAAGAGACTCTCTGAAAAACTCTCCAAAGGAGGTTGTGAATAATGTTCACACAGCACTGACGATACCATCGCCAATATCTTCGCATTCCACATCACTGGTCAGTAGTACACCGATTACCTCCCCTTGTCCATCCTCCCCTTCTCATAAAACCGAGACCAAGCATAATTTCACAAGCATCGATTCGTTGCTCAAGAAAGAGACGGACAGTACCACAAATAATTCATCTAATAATCATTTTCTCCCTCCAAATATTTTTCCCCCATCACCTCTTATCAAGGATCATCACATGAACAGTTATACTGACATCCTTGAACAAAAGCCATGGTTCAGTATATTACCCAGAATGCCTTGCGATGAGCAGTCATTAACACGCACACCCCACTCGAGCAATTCGCCGTCAGTTGTATCAAACACATCCTTATCATTTTTCCCGCTACTGCCATTCCCACCATCAAGCCCAGGGTTTGGCTCATTCCAAATGGGACAGTTACAGAATAGTACATTGGACTCCAGTCTATTGTCAAATTCAGACACATCTTTGGCGAATTTGTCGTCAAGTTTGTCGTCCTTCAAAGTGCCGCCCCCACCTTGTGATACTCCAACCAGCTCCAGCTGCACTGGAAGTGTTACCATGGAGATGCTCAAACCTGTGAAGATTGAGCCGCTACCTATTCCTGATGGTAAGTATGGAGTTAGAAGTTACTGCTTTTGTTATATTTTGGATGGATCAGCATGATTAGGATGATGGGGAAGCCCTGTGGTAAAAGTGCTTGTTTGTCATGGCAAATGCCTGGGTTCGATTCTCCATATGGATGCAGTATGTGAAGCCCATGAGGATTTGTTGGTTACAATGTCTGATAAGGTTTATGGTGAGCCATCATATTCTTGGCCCACTGTTGCAAGGTCATTGAGAGACCATGACTATACAAGGTCAGTGATGAACCATGGGAGTTGTATTGTTTTTACTGAGATAGACTGAAACACGTAATTAACTGTACCTGGAATTCAGAAAAGATGCTTCCATCATTTCCAAGTCCATCTCTAAACGCTTTGACTGTTGTTGTTGATCATCTCATGCCTGAAAGTCCAGAACAGCTCACTTTGATTTTTGTGAGCATTTTGTGAAATATTATTGCACTCTTACTGTTACAAGTCTGTGTTATGATGGTCGTAGTGCTATGATTGTGTTGGCTTTGATCATATAACTGTTTCTTCTCGTCAAGACATTCTATGGAGAATGTGACAAAAATGAGCCTGCCTCTCCAGTGGGTCCATCTGCAATGATGTTGTGATGATGTGTTGAGGTTGTGATGTGCGTTGATGAGGTTGTGATGTGATGTGCGTTGATGAGGGTTGATGAGGTTGTGCGCGTTGATGAGGTTGTGATGTGTGTTGATGAGGTTGTGATGTGCGTTGATGAGGTTGTGATGTTGATGAGGTTGTGATGTGCGTTGATGAGGTTGTGATGTGCGTTGATGAGGTTGTGATGTTGATGAGGTTGTGATGTGCGTTGATGAGGTTGTGTTGATGAGGTTGTGATGATGATGATGCGTTGATGAGGTTGTGATGTGCGTTGATGAGGTTGTGATGTGCGTTGATGATGTTGATGATGCGTTGATGATGTTGTGCGTTGATGAGAGGTTGTTGTGTGTTGATGAGGTTGTGATGTGCGTGATGATGATGGTTGATGATGATGCGTTGATGATGTGTTGATGAGGTTGTGTGCATTGATGAGGTTGTGATGCGTGATGAGGTTGTGATGTTGATGAGGTTGTGATGTGTTGATGAGGGTTGTGATGATGCGGTTGTGATGCGATGATGATGATGCGTTGATGATGTTGTGATGTCGCGTTGATGATGTGATGTCGTTGATGCGGTTGTGATGTGCGTTGATGAGGTTGTGATGCGCGTTGTGTGATGCGCGTTGTGATGTGCGTTGATGAGGTTGTGATGTGCGTTGATGAGGTTGTGATGTACGTTGATGATGTTGTGATAGGCATTGATGAGGTTGGTGGTGTTTCAGACAAGCAGCTAAACTGGTGGCGTCTCATGGATGAGGAAAACGTGAAGGACATCCTCAAGTGCCTCCATTCACGCGGCATCAGGGAGAAGAATCTCATGAAGAACCTGCAGAAGTACCTGGAGTACGCCTGTTCCTGTTGTGGCAAGGGAAATGACAAAGGTACGGTACGACTCACCACTCCAGAAATGGCCTTGTCATCTAAGGTTACACAAGGTTCCTCACATTTTAAGATAAAAAGTATTACTGGTGTGAAGTTTTTTAAAAAGCCCTTTGACCACTTCCTGGGTTTGTGAATGTCTGTTCGATCCACATGTCAAATAGCTAAATTTTATAACTTGTATTTTGTTTCTTTCGTTTTGTAGTGATGAAGTTTGAAGTAAAGAAGGAGTGCAATAGTCCGGGCAAGAGCAAAGCCCACAAAGAGGCAGAGGCAGCTCGGCTGAAGAAGATTGAGGTGCCCCGCCCGGATGACCCGGATCACTGGCTTCATGACGCTAACCTGGAGGTGGAGATGGGCGTCTTGGAGGAGGTGGAAGCTCTTGAGGAGCGCATCTTCCAAGCCAGTCTCCAGGTCAAGGTCAGTGTCAGGAATGTGCGTACACCACTAACTCAATATCTCTTTTTTTCTTTTTTTTGTTGACTTTAATGTTTGATATGCATGGCAGTTGTGATCATGTCTCCAACTCGTCATAGGGGCAACTGGAATGTACTTGTGGTAGCCTAGTGGTTACTGCATGCACTCAGTCTAAGTAAACTTAGACTCAGTATTATTCGTTACACTGCTATACTGAGTCTAACAAAACCTTGTGGAAGGTCGCATCAGATAACCTTTTCAATTGACCAATCAGAACACAGCTTACCAAATCCCGAAAGTTGACATTCGCACATACCTTTTGAACTTTTACCTCCAAAAGGTTTGTACCGAACGATTCCGAAGGCTGTTTTCCGTATGATCGGTTCCTAGTGAGGCATGCCACAGCAGTGAGTAAACAGTCGCTGAAAATAGCGTTTTGTCAGTATTCAAGCATGTCAGCTTGCTGAAATATTAGCTAATGATAGCCATGTCAACAGAAACCCCAAAGCGTATATACTGCAGGGCAAATATCTGTGTTTTATGCAATTTTCATTTGTTGGGAGATCAGTGTTGGCGAATGGGGAATAGAAAATCCATTTTGTAAGTCCCGTCGAACCTGAAATAGTAGCTGTTGTCTGATTGGTTAAATCCGTTCGGCCGTCTCGCGTTTGATTGGACGGTCATAGGTCGCTCAAAGGTTACCTGACGCGACCTTCCACACGGTTTTGTTAGACTCAGTACAGCAGTGTAACGAATAATACTGAGCCTTAGTTTACTTAGACTGGGCCTAATATCTGGATAGTTGATCATATGCATATCAACATGTATGAACAATATATGAAGCTCATTCCTGATGTCCCTTTCCTTGCTTAAAGCGGAGTAAAACCACACTAATTACACACTTGAATGTATCTGGTGTTCAGGCTTTGAGCTGATTGTGGGTCATTGTGCAATGATGTGATTAATTACGTGCTCATGCTTTCACTCACTGGATTGCTTGGTTCAGATTTGATTTTTGTACAGTCAATGTGGTATGGCTGGAATATTGCTGCCTGCAGAGTAGATCAAGACTCGGTGGTGAGATTCGGTATCTTGCTTGTGTGTAATCGTATCCGGTGTGAGTGGTCCTACCACCCTCATACACCTTCACTGTTGTTGAATGTGGCTTTAAACAGGAACATCTACAAAAGCAACAAATCCTTGTGGTCAATTGGACCCAGTTTCACTGGTTCAGACTTTATTAGTTGCCGTCTGCCCTCCTATGCCTCCACTGTTGTGGAATGTTATTACACAACAAACAAGTGGTTCAGACTTTATTAGTTGCCGTCTGCCCTCCTATGCCTCCACTGTTGTCGAATGTTATTACACAACAAACAAGTGGTTCAGACTATATTATTTGCCGTCTGCCCTGTTATACCTCCAATGTGGTGGAATGGGTCCTGACACAACAAACAAACTGAGAGTCAACTTGGGATGTATTGTCAGACTTTTGGACTTGGCTGATTATGATCTTGGCATGGATCAAGTCTTTAAATGGCAATTAGAAATGACAAATATGAAGGGGAACACTTTGAGGAGAACTTCTCTATTACAAGGAACACAACATTCATCTGAAGAATTCATACGAAAAATACTCTGAAATATTGTAATCCTTAAAACAGAGAAAAGTTGACATTCCTTAATTTCCCCTTCATGGTATTGATTGTTATGAACAACATTAATTCACCCAGTCACTATGTTCTATGCAACAATGTTCTATGAGAAAACCTGCCTGTACATTACAGGGCTGGAAGCTCCCAGCGAAGGCGACAGAGGACCCCAAGTTGGAGCTGGTATGTCGCACTGTTACCGAATTGAAGGAACACCAGCGCTTCCCGCTTGATGTGGCCAGAGAGAGGCTTCTGAAGCTGGAGACAAACGTGGAGAGACGCTACCTCAAACCCCCGCTTATCAAGAGGAACGTGAGGTGGGTCGGAACCACCAATAAGTACAGGTAGTTGGACCGATGTATATATGTGTGTCCAGTGTTGTATCCGTAAGGTAGGGAACCTTCTTCTAGACACAGCACACACCTACATACCTGTATAATAATCTGTAAATCATATCACCTCAACTGGGGTTTAGCAAGGAAGTCTCAGATACCAATATTCAACCGTGTGTCTACAGCAGATGTTGTTATTAGTTTTCAAAATGAAAATGATACCAATCCTAATTTTGCTTAATAAACATGATGTTTTCTGTTATTGCATGTTAAACATAGCCGAATTAACAAATAAACCCTTTGAAACAATCCTCAAATTTGGAAATAAAGTTTTTTCACAAATTTACCTGTCATAGGTAAATCCCTGAGCAAATGTACAATTGATTTGAAGATAAATTTGCTTGAGGGACAGTAATTTAAGTTTCATCATACTAAGAACTCGTGCTAATTTTGGTTCTTATTAACTTGACATATGACTTAAGACCCTACAAAATCTGTATTGATACATTGGTTGGAGATTGCCATTCTGATTGTAATGAACTGTCGACACTTCCTACTTAGGACTTTCTGTAAATGAGTTTAGACTTGATCAAAACTGGTAATAATTGTGAAAAAATGTTAGACAAATTTTATTTATTTTTTTACCCTTATGGATGTCAAATTCATTGTTGTCTTGGTGTTGTTTCTGTTTATGTATCAATGTTGTGCAATGTATAATACGAACATTCTCGGAAGGCAAAGTCGCTATCTTCATGTTCTTCCTTTTTCAATCTGGACCACAGTAAAATTATTGAAACAAAGCAACGTACTGATGAAATTTATTAATGACTCAAGCTGAACATGAGATTAACTACAAATAAATAAATGCATAAATGTATTTTTTCGTAACCTACAGCTTAAAAATAAGAACGATTTTCAAATACCCATTTCATTTAAACATATCATTGCAGAATATCTGAATTATTGTCTTTGCCAACTGACCCGTGAAGATTTGGGGTAGAATAGGTCTTCAGCAACCCATGCTTGCCACAAATGGCGACTATGCTTGTCGTAAGAGGCGACTAACGGGATCGGGTGGTCAGGCTCGCTGACTTTGTGGACACATGTCATCGGTTCCCAATTGCGCAGATCGATGCTCATGTTGTTGATCACTGGATTGTCTGGTCCAGACTCGATTATTTACAGACCGCCGCCATATAGCTGGAATATTGCTGAGTGCGGTGTAAAACTAAACTTACTCACTCACTCTTTGCCAACTTAACCCAACATCAGTAAAATTGTGAATGGAGAAGTTACTTTAAGTTGGATATTTTGACAATCAATTTGTGGGAGCCAATTTTGCCTTTTAGCCTATAAACCTGAAACCTTCTTTAAAGCACATTTAGAAGCTGGTGTGATGAAGAGGAATAATTTTCTTATGGATAGACAGTTATCTCTGATCTCAGCATCTATGGTCTTAGCTTATACACCGAAATGTTGCATCTTTTGCAATAAAGAAGTTGTCTATCCATAAAAACAATTGTTCCTCTTCTTTATAAACCTGACAGTTCGGTGTAGATGGAGACATGGAGAATGCTTGATTCTAAGTATGCCTTCTTCCTTTAGCAGCCTACCACCCAACATAGCCAACATGTCGACTTCCAGTGAAGGACATGCAGGGGACCAGGACGATGATGACCAGGAACCAACCAATGTGGAGGAAAACATTCCGCCTGGTCTCATCTTGTGGCGGAAGGCGGTGGCCGCAACCACGTCATGTGCACAACTCATGTTGTGTCTGCTACAGCTCAACAACTCCATATCTTGGGAGAAGTCCATTATGAAAGTGGTGGGTGGAATTAATCATCAGTTCAAATTCACCACTGTAGTGTGATGTTCTTGTTAATATGTTAAGTTATTTTATTAGTAGAATATTTCAAAGAGTCTGGCGAATATATTTGTACTTGGAAACAGGTGGTGAATGTATTAATATTATTTCAGATCTGCCAGATTTGCCGGAAAGATGACAATGAAGCTGAACTGCTTCTGTGTGACGGATGTGATAAGGGCTACCATACTTACTGCTTCAAGGTAAATGGAGACCACTCTTTCGGGACTCAGGGACAGTGGGTCAGCTAAGTGGGTTGAGAGTTTGCTTGTTGTACTGAAAATGTGGGTTTGATTTGGCACATGGGTACTATAAAGGTCTCTAGTTTATGTTCCTTTCTGTAATGCAGCTGCAACATTGGGGAAAGTAGTTTTCTAAGCTCACCATATTGATTGCCTTAATGACAAAAATGAGGGGAAAAAATAAGCTATTGAAACTATGCACATTTCTAAAGCAATGTACCTTTGGGGTTTCTGAGTTAGCACATAACCTCAGCGTATGTGGTCGTAAGAGGCGACTTTGTTGATTGGGTGTCTTTTACCATATTGTGCTTATCTTTGCTCTCAATGTCAATCACTGGATAGTATGATCCACAGATGATTGTTTGTATGCTGCCATCATACAGCTGGAATATTTCATAGTACAACTTTTAGCAAAGATCAAGGAAACTAAGGTTAAAGCTGTGAGTTTTAGAAGTGGTATGTGAGGGTCCTCAAACTATCACAACTTTAAAGTGTGACCCGTGAAGATCCTGGTTAGAATGAACCTTCAGTAATCCATGCTTGTTGTAAGAGGCGACTAAAGGGATCGGGTGGTCAGGCTCGCTGACTTTGTTGACACATGTCATCGGTTCCCAATTGCGTAGATCGATGTTCATGCTGTTGATCACTGGATTGTCTGGTCCAGACTTGATTATTTACAGACCGACGCCATATAGCTGGAATATTGCTGAGTGCGGCGTGAAACTAAACTCACTCACTTAATAATGTGCCTGTTATGGCAACAATACAGCTGGATTATGGTCAACTGAGTGGATGAAGCAATCATAAAATCACGTATTGGTCTTTATTCAAAGCTCGAAAGTCCGAAACACTTTCAGAATATCATTGCTTCATAGCATCTTTTTTCCAGTCGAAGATGTATTTTGAGACTGGTACTGTAGAGTGTAAAAGGTAAAATGCAGCACATTACCTGTTTATTGTTTACATGAAAAAGTACCCAGTGGTGTGTTTTCCATCTTGCCTCCCAGAAGATTGATCAGAAATTGCTAGTATATGAGATCAAATTACGCGGTGCTTGATAATATGTTACTATGACGCATGTGTTTCTAGGCTAGTGGTGCCCCTCACTGTATAGTGTGCGGCAAGAAGCTGGGGAAGATAGTGGAATGTGATCACTGCCCCCGTACATACACATCGACTGCCCTCGACCCACCTCTACCTCGCACGCTCTTTCTTAATCTTATTGTACAGTCTTAGTCTGTTGTTCAGAGGTGCTGCTAAGCCTAAAGATTTTGACATACTTAGCTTTGAAAATTGCCATTCCCATTGCTTTGTAAATATGAAGAAAAAAGATGTTTTTAGATGTAAAATCCTTCTAATGAATTCATACTTTTTGTTAATGTTCAAATATTAATGTAATATCTGTGAGACAACCTGGTAGGGACAGACAAATTTTTCCAGTATGGGTGGTGCTATTTTGGGAGTGACAGTTTACTGTCATTTAAGAAAGGTTCAACTGATTGTACTGATCTAGTGTTGGCATTGCTGCTTATCTATGCCTTCCTTTTATCATACCCAGAAGAAAACATCATGTGAAGAACCTGATTTTTCTAGAAACAATTCTATTCTCAAAATGATTGCTTGTGGTACATGTTTTACCAAACTTTAGTACATTTTGTATGAGTGAGTTGAATTATTAGAATGAAATATGTTTATGATCATTTGACAATGTTGGCATTATGTTTCAGTATTCCCAAGAAATGGGCCTGTCCTGCTTGTATGGTTGGAAAGGTGGGTGTTAATGTTAAATATACCACTGTCAATATTTGGTGACTTCAGTATTATCCATCACTGGTGAATAGGGGTAGCCTAGTGGTGAAAGCGTCATTGTCACGCCTAAGACCGGGTTCGATTCCCACATGGGTCAAATGTGTGAAGCCCATTTCGGTGTCCCCCTATTGCTGGAATATTGCTAAAAGCGCCATAAACTAAACTGAAACACTGGTGAATACATGGATGCTTTGGAATCTAGTTTCTATTTCCACCAATCAAGCCAGTTCCTGGTTCAAACAAGGGCAACATTGTTCCATTCAATGAGCACTCGATTACATTGGCAATATTGCACATACATAATATAAGACTTTTGCCTCTGATCTTCAAATCCGCATTTCTAGTGAAGTTTATGCAAAGAGTCTACATATTTACTTCCTATAGTTGCTTTTACCAGATGAACAATGTAACTCACACCACACAGTGGTCCTATGCATTCTGAAGTGATGGAAAATACTGTTTATAACCTCTGATGTTTTAATGGTGCACAGGATTCTGTGAGATCACTTTGGACATTGAGCTAATGTACTACTCCAAATGACTTAACCGATTCTTTAATTCTGTAGTTTATTCTCATGCAATGACAAATTGTAATTATTTGCTGTTACTAAGGTAACTTAATATTTCTATAACTACTGTGATTCTAATGATGCGTGTGTAATGTCAGAAACCCAAGCGAAGTGAGAAAGAAGCCGTCCGAGTGAAGGACTAGATTTTGAAGGATTCGAAAGCAGCAAGGCGGAACCTACAGAGAAGAAGAAAAAGAGTCTAGCTCACCGACCAAGGATAAAGATCTAGTCATCTGCGCGGTGAGGACTCTACCGTGATCTATTTTTAAATTTTTACATATATCCTTGTATATTTACTGTCCAAGCTAGAAAATAAGGTAATTATCATTATAACAACAAAACAACAATAAGACATACTGAAAATCTGTCCAAGCATCTCGTCAGGCTCATAAACAAGTGCCTGTGTTCTTGAGCTGTTGACCCGTATCCAAGTGTTCACCAATATATATATCCCATGGCACTGTTGTTGTGTAGTTTCCCCAGAAACCGAGATTTGATTTGAGTGTTGTTTAATCCTAAGCTCAGCAATATCCTAACTATGTGGCGGCAGGTAAAATAATCAAGTCTGGACCAGACAATCCAGTGATCAACATTGTGAGCATTAATCTACACAATTGCGACATTTATGATCTGCGCCAACCAAGTCAGCAAGCCTGACCACCCAATCCTGTTAGTACGATAAGCATAGGGTTGTTGAAAAATCAGTTATAACCTGATGTTATTTGATTCCAGGAAGCTTCTGGCGTGGAGATGGAGAAGCACAACTGTGGGTGGCTACTTCCTCCAGCCTGTCAACGCCAAGAAGTTCCCATCCTATAAAAAATACATCAAACACCCCATGGACTTTGCCACCATGAGGAGCAAACTCAGGGAAAACATGTGAGTCTGTCAGACCAAGGGTTGCATCCCTTTATGATGTGCCAGGATCCGTGATCATGGGTTCAAAGCTCGATTTTAACCTGACTATTTATTATCCTGGTTTTGACAGAAGCATACCGGTGTAATGAGACAATGCTTACCTCCCTTACCATCAGGCATCATGTTTGATCTTGTAATAGTATACTACATCTTAAAGAACATCTCTGTCCCTACAGTGATATTGCTGTATGAAAAGAATGGATCACTCCATTGTTGTCTCCTGGTTATGAGAGATCTTATATATTCCAGAAAGTCTTGGTCCACGCTTCTGGTTCTTGAGCATCTGATCTATTTATTTTTGTTCCATTTAATGCCTCTTATTATTTTGGTTCTAATAATGCCTTCCAATATTTTTGCAGCCACAAGTCACGCCAGGAGTTCGTGAAACGATGGGCTTAATTGTGTTTGAAAACTGTGAAACTTATAATGAGGACTCACCGTGAAGTTGGGCAAGCAGGACACACGTGATGAAGAAATTTTTAGAAAAACGCCTTCAAAGAACTCTTTGAGATCTATTAGCTATTGTCATGGCAACTGTGGATTGACAGTTGCTGACACCTAACCAGTGTATTTCATTGACCAACCACAAAACCAGCAGCCAGCCAATCAGATCCCAGTGTTCAGCAATAGGGAATACTCACTGACCTTTGTTGCCATGGTGACTTTTTCGTTGCTGTCAGGAGATTCATTGCCATGGATTCTCTCTCTTCACCATGCCATTATGTGTTCTTTATTTTCAGGGATATGTTTACATGACTATATGTGCTCATTGTTTCTACACCCAGAACTGAGGTGTCGCTTTGTTCTATTCAGTATATGACATGAGCCAAATGTTGAAACTCCACAGCAATGGTACCATAATCAATTTCAATTTCTATGTGTTTCATTGTTTCAAGTATGACCATTATTTATTTCAATAAAATGCAATATTGTGCATAGTATTGATCGAATTGTGACACAAGTACATAGTTTTAGATGGGATTACGCAGTATGGGGTGTACAAGTGCTTTATTTGTGTGACAAGTTTAATGTTCGATTGAAGTATTCACTGACAGTAGTGAACTGATAACACTTATGTGCTCAATTAGAAATCCTTTTCGCGGCTATTTATGGAATTGGTATTAATGAATTGTTTTAAGAAAGGAGTGCGAAGCTTCACATGGAAATGGTATGACATTACCTACATAATCAAACATGCCTATTGGCTAGTCATCCTATCACCTATAGTCTTTTACAAATGCATTTATATGAAGAACTGCTGCATTGATCATACTCCCTCTCTGCTGAAAGTGGAAAGCGTGTTTAGCTTCAGTTTCACATGTCTTGAAGACAATTGATCCGATCCTGGATACAGATACTACTTGGAGGAAACTAGTTTTCATTATTATCACATTTATTATTTTTTAAAACAATGTTAAGCTTCAAGTGATAAAAAATTCATTGTTTTAAGTGGATGACTGTCCCAATGGGCCTGTTGCCACGCCATTATTGTTATGGTTTCCATGGCAACAACCTTTTCGAAAGCAATAGAGCTTTATAACTAAGATGTGCAGCTATTTATCTGTGTAGATGACAAATTACAAATTATTCAGCTGAGATGGAACTACCTGGTGTAAGAATGGTATAGATGCACCATCATGTTCAATTCAGTGAAATATGGTTATTGTGTCCAAACTTTATTTGAAAGCCTCACCAAGGTAAGCAGTGTCTTCATTTGGCCTTTTATGAATTTATTTTCATGAACCTCCACATTTTGAGGAGTATTATGTATGAATAATGTCATAATAAGTAGTGTGTGTGTGAGACAGTCAATGAAGCAATATTGATTGACAGTGCCACCAGCTTGGCTCCTCGGATGTCGCAAGTTGGCTTGAAAAGGAGACCAATACAGTGACCAAATAAATACTAAAATGGATTCACAAATTTCTGTTAATAACCCAATAATACTGAGTTTGTCAAGAGCAGACCATGCCTGCAGTTGTTATTAAATATACCACAAAATAACAAGTCTGTCTGCTTCACAACATTATTCTGTCGGTCAGTAATTTCATCTAGTATGTGAATGCTATTATATGATGTAAATACTGTTGTAATTATTGATACTTACAAAAGACTTTTTATATTGTTTATCTTTAAATCTTCATAGTATTTTTGTCTGCAATTACAAAAAAAATGTTACAATATTTTACAAGAATGTTTAGTGGTTTTTCTAAGCTAACGAGCTCCACTTGTGTCTTTGAGATGTTATTTCGCGTAAAAATGTTATTTATGTTTTGTTTGATATAACATTTTTCCTCATCGCAGAACAGTGTTTAGTCTGGGCATTATTGTTTCTTAGACGAAGGTAGCTCAGTTCAGTTGCTTTTGTAGATCCTCGATTCACAGTAGCAATGCTTTCATGCGGTTTGTCGGAATAAATTAAGTGTATAGATGTCTTTCATAAACTATTATTGTTGTGAGTAATGAAAAATATTTTTAAATTTAGGCTGAAGTGAAAGATCTGCTCAGATGTGCTTGTATAAGGTATTTAAGTATTATATATTTATCGGAGTATTCAGCGCGGTATGTTTGTAATTGTTTGATTTATGGAGCATACCTCAAAGTTTCCACACATATCAACCTTGGGTTGACTCTGTGCCTTTGCTAGATAGAGTTTCATGTAGTAATTCCTCTCACTTCCATAGACGCATTCACTTAGATTGAGAACTCTGACAGTGGGGTTTGTTAGAGAACAGCTACTGCATTTATCTCCATCAGTCTTTGCTAACATATCAGCCTTGTCATGAGACTGTTCCTCCATCTGATTGGGTAATTTGGGGTTGCTATGGAGACATGTACGTACAATGAAGGTGAAGGTGAGAATTTCATAACACACCTTCTGCATTGACCTCGGAGTTTCATAATATTGTAATGAGCATTGTTTCTTTGGATCAGTATTGATGTTTTGTGAACAGGCACCATAAAATGTAGTGAAAGGTTTTGGAGGCATTTTCGACATATCTTTCAACTTGTATTTTCGTTTCAGCCTAAATTTTGAAATAAAAGTTCAGTTGCATCTAATCCTTGTAAGGGAGGCAACTCCTGTGCAGGTTCCAATATGTCAATCAGTCAGGGATCTGCTATGATACAGGGAAAATAACAAGTTATGTATTTATTACCGTGAAATATTCTTGATAAAACTGCAATATCTTAAGGGCTTATGTCCCTGTTATGTAAAATGTATGTTATTTTTAATTAGTTGTTAGTTAAAATTAATTGTTAGTTACTGTGAATGGAAAGTTGGACTCTAAAATGGTTAAATGATGGAAGTAGCAGTAATGGTTTAGGTAATTGTTAAGTACAGATATTGTAGTGCCCCAGTCGTATCATTTCTTTGAAATAACGGTATTTTTGGGTTAGTAAATTCAAACATTATTAATAAATTATCAAAGGAATCAAGAAAGCCATAGATGCCCCACATTAATTATTGTTAGAAGGTGTCTATACATGACATTGCTTAATCACCCCTTAATACAAGTGGCCAAAATGTAGTTTAGCTTTTACATATGTCTATTTTGAAATCTAACATAAAGTCAGGTTTGATTCCCACAGGACAGTTGATATATGGAAGTCGGATAAAACCTGATAGGGCAGCAAGTTTGTTTATACCCAACCTGCTGACACAGAAGCACTATATGGAGTAGATACCGAATGCTGTGACACATTACACATGTGAAGTGAGAAATGATAATGTCATGTAAGCTGAGTGCTCATTGGTCAGAGGATGTGGTGGTGTAGCCTGAGTGCTCATTGGTCAGAGGATGCGGTGGTGTAGCCTTGTGGTTGAAGCATCCACTCAACACACTGCAGGCCCGGTCTGACTCCCCCACATAAGTACATTTCTGGTGTCCTCTGGACGGATATTGCTGGAATATTTCTTAAAGCCGCATAAAACCTAACTTACTCATTGGCCAGAGTACTTTCAGCCTACAGGGACAAGGCCTTGGCTTGATTGGTGGTTTAAGATAGCAACTGTGCAGCCAAGCGATTGTATGTATTCCCAGGTAATGGAGGATGGAGTGTACACAACTTGTGCAGGACTCATGGTATAGATGAGGTCATATATAATCTGTAGACGGACTAATATGTATAGTTGTTCGGGGCACAGGTCACACAGAATCAAGTTGAGTCAGTACTAACCCTCAGTCCTTTTGGGTAACATTTTTCACAATGTTCCAGCAGTTAACAGGGCGTTGGGGTAGCCTCATGGTTAAAGTATTCGCTTGTCAAGCCGAAGACCCGGGTTCGATTCCAACTTGGGTATAATGTTTGAAGCCCATTTCTGCTGTCCCCTGCCGTGATATTGCTGGAATATTCGTAATACAGTGTGAAACTAAACTCACTCACTCACTCAAGCAGTTGACATGTAAACATGCTGGTTAATCAGTCCAAACTTCTCCAAACCAAAGAACACTGCACCTGTTCTAAAAATGTTGAATGTTCATTTGAGTTAAAGAAATTAATACATTATTTATTATCAGTCATAAAAAATCTGCTTCTAAAAAGCTTGATTACACGATTCTTTCACATTATCATATCTGCCATGGTAGGTTAATGTCAGTAATATGAAAGAATCAAGGCCTTAGCTTTTTGGAGTAGTATTATTGTATGGGTAATTTGGATATACATCACGCCCGTGATATTGCTGGAATATTGCTAAAAGCGCGAAAACCAAAACTCAGTCAGTCAGTGGATATACATCAAGAAAATTGTGTAGCTGTTAAATCAGGACTAGGTTATCTCCGCTATTAAACACTGAATGTGTTAAATGTTGCATTTTCCATTTCATTTAGAGGTGTTAGAACCATGTAAATGGTAGCTATTTATTGTTTTGTACGTACCATGTATATTTATTGTTATCACACTTTGGTAGACAGCTATGTACATTGCATCTTCAAAAAACATTCATATCATGATCGCGACTAA